TCAATAAATTAGAATAAAGAAAGATATATAAATTATACTTTATAAGATAGCTCGAATAAAGATAATTATTAAATTATATTTTAAAATAATTTAATATAGCGAGAAAAGTATAATTATAATATTAAGAAAGAGTATCTTAATATATTCGAGATAATAAAAATTATCTTATTTATAATAATTATAACTAGCGAAAATTTTAAATATTTAAGTCTTTAAGAGCTAAGTTTTTAATTAAAGTATTATATTAACGCGCTTAATTAAGTAATAATTAAAATATAGAGAAATTAAAGATAATAACTTTATAAGAATACTCGATTTATATAAAGTATTAATAATTAATTTATAAGTTTCGAGGCGAGAAAGATATTAATATTCTTAATTTAATTATTATTATTAATACTTTAAGCTCTTTCTAATAAGAATATAGCTTTTTAATTATATAGACGATTTTCGTTTAACTCTAATAAAGAAAATCTAAAATATTATTTAATCTTATTTTAAGGTTTATATAATATTATTATCTAAAAATCTAAAGGCGATAATTAGCGATTTATTAATCGACCTTTAATTTATATATCGAGATCTATAAAATAGATAAAATATAATATATTTTATAAAACTTAGATTAATTAACTTCTTTAACTAATAGTTTCTAAAATAAGAAATATTTCTTATCTTAATTAATAGTTATATTATTATATAAAATTTTCTTCTATAATAAGAGAGTATCTCTTAAATTTAGATAAAGAAGTAAATATCTTTAATTACTCTTATTTAATAATATTATAATTCTTATAATAATCGCTCTTTATTATAATCTAAAGAACTATAATTCTAAATATTTTTATATTAAAAGATAAAATAATAAGAAAGTCGAAGATAAGCTCTTTACTATTATTTTATTACTTATATAATTATAATACTTCTTAGAAATATATAAGTATATTAAGAAGTTCTAAAGAGATATAGAATAATAGAAAAGATTTATTATATATTATATATTACGATAGTATATTTTAGAGATATACTCTAGATTAATAAGAAAGATATAGAAATCTTCTAAATTAAATAATTTATATAAAAATTTATTAAATAATATTATCGAGAAATTAGATTTTATAAGCGCTTTAAGAGAAGTTATATTAAGATCCGCTAATACTAAATTATTTAAAAAATTAGATTTAAATCTAATTGAAGATGATAAGAGAATCTCGCGAGCTATTAAGAAATAATTAATATATAAAATAACTAAATAAAAAGAAATCGATTTAATAAATAATAATTAGAACTTAAATCTCTCTAAGCTCGAAGTATAAATACTCTATATCTTAATAAATAGAGAGAATAAATAAAAAAGATTAAACTTTAATATATCGTCTATAGCTTTATTATAATAGATAAAGAAAGAAATAATCTATAAAGAGAATAAGTATTTATAAATTAATAAAGTTATATTAAATAAAAAGAAAAAATATAAAGAATATATAGCGTAGTAAATAGAATAGAGAGAATTAGTCTCTTTATCTATTAGGCGAATTAAATAAGAATTAATAAAGAATTAAATATCGCTATAGCGCTTAGAATTTTAATTATTTAAAAATCTATATTTTAGAGATTATAAATATTATTAATATTATAATAAGATATCGCGATAAATTTTAAATCGATAACTTCTATTAGATATCTAGAGATATCGAGTTTAATTTAAATTAGATACTCTAGAGATATTATTATAACTAATAATATCGTTTAATTTAAATACGCTATAAATATTAATATTACTAGTAAGACTAGCTAATCTAGAATTTTTATAAATATTATTATAATTAGCAATATTATTTAACTTAAATAATCTCGAAAATCTTCTTAATATATATTTAATTAATTAAATTAAACTTTTAATAGATATTATTATTATTAGTAATATTATTTAACTTAAATAATTTAAAAAACCTATCTTATATATAGTCCCTCGAATTTTTAAATATATACTATTAAATTAATAGCTCACAGTCGCTTTAAAATCTAACTAACCCGAATAAATACTATCTTAACTTATTAAACGCGAAGTTTATTATATTTAATTGCTAAACTAGTAAAAAGAGTTAAATATAGATAAAGTCTACTTAATAGACTAAATCGTACTAAATCGTGCTTATAATACGAACCCGGCGGAAATCGTGCGAAAAGGAACTTTTCAGATTTGTAAATGAAAGCACACTAAATCCGTAACACTACGACTTTTATAGCTTTTATATTTCTTCTTAATTATTTAAATAAATCTTTATATTATTAGAAAGTTAATATAAATAAAATCTCGAATAGAGTATTTTATCTTTAAAGATTTATAAGATTAAAATTTTTAATTTAAGTCGATAGCGGCGTTTATATTATTATTTTATTATTTCTCTTCTACTTTTTATAGTAATCTTTATTTAATAATATAAGCGAGCTTCTTATTATATTTATTCTTTTCTCTATCTTTATTATCTATTATAGCTTCTCTAAAAATAAAGAAATACTATTAAATATAAATAGGAATAAAAAGATATTTATTTCTATAATCGCTACGACTTTAATTATTATAATATCTAATTATACTATAATTTTCTATTAAAAAATCTTAATAAATATCTTAATTTAAGTATTTAGAATCTCGATAAAGATTAATAATAACTCTATTATTTCGATATCTAAGTAAGTCTATTAAATAATAATTTTCTTTATTATTATCGCGATAAAGGCGATAGCGATTTATTTAGATTTTTTAATTCTCTTTAACTTAATTATATTTAATTTTATATTTTAAGATATAACTATATTATCGCTTAAATTTTAAAACTAATTAATATCTATCTATAATTAATTAAAGTTATTTTTAAAATAAAGAGCTTATAATCTTTATCTTTTCTTAATTATTTTTAAGATAATACTTTTATAGCGTAAATAGCTTAATTAAAATACTTTATATTAATTTTTATAATTAATATATATAGATTTAAAGCTTAGTTTTTTAAGCTCTTTATATATATAAGTATTATATTTCTAAATATAATATATATAGATTAATTCTTTAGCTTTATATAAGAATATAATATATTTAAATTTTTAATAGCGAAAGTATTTAATAATCTTACTTTCTCGAATATACTTTTTATAATTATAATATATATTTTCTTTTAAAGTTCTTTAACTTAAATTATTTAATTAGATAATATTCGCGTAATAGAGATTTATAAATTTAACGATTATTATTAAGACTTTAATTAATAAATTTTTAATTTTATTCTTATCTAATTAGCTTAAATATCGAATTTCGACTTTTAAAATTCTATAAATATTTAATTCGAGAATAATTTTAATAAGACTTTCGATATCTTTCGAAAATTAATAAAGTTTAATAGAAATATTATAAATAACTATATCGAAAGTAAGAACTAAAATAAACGCGTTAATATTAAAATACGCTATTTATTTCTTAGCTTTCTTAATATTTCTTAGAGTTTTAATATTCTTTTAAATTTTTATTAGAAATTATAGATTTTTAGATTTAAGTTATCTAGCGATTTCGATTTCGATAAATTTAAGCGTTAAAAAATATTTAAATTAAATTTTAATAAAATTCTATAGCTATTTAAGAGTTTAAACTCGAAATTTCTAGACTATATCTTTATCTTTAATTTTAATAATAATCTAATAATCTTCTTTTTTATTAAGTTCTAAAAATAGAATTAGCTATAACGAGTATAATAATAATATACTTTAGAGAAGTAGCGAGAAGACGATTAAAAGGCCTTTTATCTATATACTTATTAAGTCTTATATCTTAAAAATTATTATCTCTATAGAGTTTTTTATAATTATAATATCGCCTTTAATATACTTAATAAGCTATTTTAAGCGTAATATAGCGATAAGTAATTCTTTATTATCTAATTAATTAATTACTTTTATAATTATCGAAGAAATTATATAAAGTAAGATTTTAGCGATAGTATAAGATATATTATTATATTTAAAATTATTAAATTTATTCTTTAAATACTTAAAAATAATATTAGATATATTCTAAATAAATAGAAGCTATTAATTAATAGAGAGAGTCTTATAATTCTCGAGAATCTTTAACTATTTCGACTTACTATCTTTCGCTATAATAAATTATAAGAAAGAAAGCGAGTATAATAAAGATATCTAGGATTAATTAATTATAATAAATATATTTATTAAAGACTATTTAAATAGTGACTGTCGAAGCTATTAAAATCATTAATGATGGTAGCGCACAAGTAGAGTGTGTCCTTCCCAGTTATTTTTGATATGTAGAACACAATAAAAGGCATGTGTGAGTAAGGTACTGTAGTATAAGGGCTGTACTACGTATATGTCAGTATGTATTAAGATAGTGGCTTGGCGAAATGTAGCCTTCCCAAAGGTGGAGTGAAATCTTCATACACGAGTAGTAGATTACCATGAAGCAAGTTAACACTCTGTACGCTGAATGTGATGAGGTCAAAAGCGTCGAGCGGTACGTTTGGCAGGACGCAATTTGCCGAGGTTCGGCGAAGCTGAGGCTATTCGAATGGAGTTCTTCGGCTCAGTAGGCCCAGCCAAATCGGGTACTCCTTATGCAGTGATGACTGGCTTACCCCAAAGGATTCTTGACGCTCTGGCCAAATTGTCCCCATCCCTCCAACCTGCAGTGCAGCCTGGTCAATTATTCTGCTACCACAAACCAATCAACCAATCAAATTGCGCAGTAAGCGAGGGCTGATCTGTCTGCACACGAGAGCTCCGTGAGCTTTTTTTGAGGATTGACCAATCGGCCAATAAATACATGGGCTAAGCGAAGGCTGGCATGTCTGCGTAAAGGAGCTCAATGGGCAGTTTTTAAGGCCTACACCTGTCGCCTATCCTCAGTCTTCATTCCTGCTGTCCGAAGAACATCGAACACCTCATACAACCCAACACTTGCCTACTTACCTTTCAACTCACTCGCAATGCTTTCTCTACGCATCGCCTTTCTACACCTAGTCGCGTTCTCAGCCATAACAACTACAAATGCCGCACCCGAAGCGACCGCGTACGTATACGCTCCATCGATCACTCCATGCACATGCATCAATCAAAAATAACGGCTAACACTTCCTCTAGCACCAACACAGTCAATCTTCGCATCGAGGCAAATACCTCCACCCTCTACGAAGGTCCCATAACGTCGGGCCCACGCAACATCACCGTCGGTAGTGGGAACAACAAGGTCACCTTCATCTGTGACGGCGCCGGAGCGATGCCTAGTCCACCACCACCCGGTAACACCCCCACCGACGCCCTCGACGCAGCCGCAAAAGCCCGCGGCTTCACCTACGATGGTGGCTTCGACGGCGAGTTCAACGATTTCTATTTCACGAGGATCGGGACCTCGACGGAATATGACAATGGCACATACTTCCAATCCTGGGGCTCCCTGGTTAACTACCAGGTCAGCAAATTCGGAGAGGGACTGACCCTGAGTGGGTGCCAGCAGCTGGTGAAGGCAGGAGATGAAGTCCTATGGGCTTTTATCACGGTAAAGGGCACAGATAGTAGCAATACGGACCCCAGCGTGTTGTTCTTGAAGTTGGCGCCGACGGCGGTGACGGTCAAGAAAGGGAAAGGGACCACGGTGACGGTGACAGATGGGAGAAGTGGGGTTGTTGTGCAGAATGCGAGTGTTGCGGGGGTCAAGACGGATGCCAACGGGAAGGCTACACTCTACTTTTTCGAGACAGGGTTCTTCCAGTATAAGGCTCATAAGACGGGCGATGTTCGGTCTAATGTGATGAATGTTACTGTGACGGACTGATGGGGCTTTCCGACCCGCACGGGGGTATCCTGTACGTGGGGATTTGTATCCATATGTCATTACGATCCTGGTAGCCGGCGAATAAGCAGTTGCAATTCTGGATATTCTACGATCCTTGCGAGCTTGATATGGACTTCTTACAATTTGCGGCGCCGCGTCTCCTAGCTCCTCCGCAAAATGACTGATGGTACTTGATAACACACAGCACTTCCAGGCTCAGACGATGAGCAGAGACGCAATCTTCATCATGACTGCGTTGAGCAGAGATCGTCTAGAAAAGCAAATGCACGTAGCGTAAGGAGACGCTCTTGAAGACGTAGCTGTTAAACTTAATTCGTTCACATCTTCGACCGTGGAAAGCTTGCCGTCGATCACTTATTGGCAAGTCAGGTTATGCTGCCTGGCGACTAAACACATACAAGATCTACTGCACCCGAGTCCTTCCAAAAGTCATTAGAGCAATCACACTGGACGAAGCAACTTCTACTCAACGTCTGGACAACAACTCATCCCAGATATGCCTACCCGAGCGCGTCCAGCACTAGATCTGGTTCTCATATAGCAATTATCCATCTTGCAACTCGAATCCACAAAGCCTCACTGCCCATGCGTCGACCGCATGAGTATGACTTCAATTTCATTCAAAGCGTTGGCGGAACCCGGCCTTTTGACTCAACAGTGCTTCCATTCCATCCGATCTAATTGACACAGTACCAGAAGTTCTACCCTCTCCGCACCTTATACTGATATCGTGTTGCTCGACGATGCTTGCATCCACGACCCTCAAGTTCGTCGACCCGTGAACGATCAGTCGTTCGTTCACCACGCCGCCTTTGCCGCGTGGTCGCATCGCGCAAGTGCCTACAGGGTGCCACGCTCCGAGTACAGTTCGACCGAGATTTTCTTCCGCGGCTTTCAGATCCCGTCTCCCCGCTGCGAAGTCTGGCTTTCGGAGGCTTCGAGGTTTGAGGAGGGATGCCAACGGTTCTGTGGTTGAGGGGTTTCGTGGCATTGAAGATGATGGGCAAGAACTTCCAGATCCATTTCCGCGTGATAAAGGATATGACAGCTGTGCGCAGATTGTGATATAATGTCCTGATCTGTATCCCTCGCGACCATGTTTACTATTGCTCGCCCCTGCTACAAAACTGGCCTGAGCAGCATACATGGAGTACACCACGGAGCTTTTGTCATCACTGGAAATCACTGAGCCGACGGAGTCCTCTTCGGCGCTCGGGCTGGTTTTCGCTTGACCTGACGATTGAGTCTCAAGCAGATTATTCAACGCGACTTTGCCGTCAGGGCACTGGGACTGAACAACAGGCATGAAAGCAAAGGAATTGATCGACGCTCCACCGAACGGGCCGGTTTTGCTAATTTGTTAGGCCTTCATGGCAGCTTCAACAGCTTTAGGATCTTGGCGGAACAGATCGTCCAAAGGTTCAACGCCGCCTCTTGTCTCGAATATTACTCCTGTCATTGGATGATCCTGCAAACTCTCACCCACATTGGAAATTTCAATGACAACATCAATGCTGTAGGACTGAAGTATGTCCGCTTTGTCTATCCCAGACAATTCTAAGGATCTTAGTGGAGTTCATCGTTCCCGCAGCCAAAATGACTTCTCTATCTGGTGTAAAGACCTGTCTTGTACGTTTATTCGTGACCACGACACCGTTCGTAATGGCCAAGCCATTTCTGTTGTCCAAGGAGATCTGTGTTACTTCCGATCCGGTCTGGAGGTGCAAAATGGGCCGATATTGGGCTGGTGAAAAGTAAGCAGAGGCTGAATACCTTCGCTCTTTGGTCGCTGGGTCCACGGCGGTGGGATACGCAAACCTGCCAGTAGCCCGTCCAGAAGAAGGGTCTCTTTAAGTCCAAAACTCAGAGTTCGAAATGTATTGGCCCATACCCTCCCCAAGGGGCCTTTCCACAGTGCCAGTGTACGAGGTCTCAATCCGTCCACTGCCAATTCTATCGTTTCTCTCTAATCAAACGAGCTCCGAGTGCGCGCAGACCTGGATAGGTGATGATTCGCCCGTTGAGTTGATTCTGTAGGGCCATACTATTTGGATGATTACTAAGTTGGGCGATGATGCTGCCGCAACGGGGTGGGGGAGACTCCGTCGGAATTTCGGCTGGGGGCGGGAGGAGGGGCGGGCCCGCGGGGTGCACCCGACCCCAACCCCGCCCGGAAGCTCGGATTTTCGGGGTCTAGATTTTCGGACCTAGAGGCGCTCCCAGCACGCACCAACATATTTTCAACTTAGCGTACTATATATACACGGTTACGTTCGATAACCATATTTTCACTTGCTAGGCTATATTGCGTATTGAAAATATATAAATTATAGGTTAATCTATAATTTAAGACTTAATGTACGCTACGCATATAGAAATAATAAATATTTATAACTGCAATAGCGATATTTTTCTTTTTTATAATTAATAATTATATTTTATAACTATAATAGCTATATTTTAGTTATAAATAACTCTCTATTTAAAGAGATAGCTATAAGTATTATTCTTACTATTACTTAATACTATTCTTCTTATTATAAAAAGTAAATATAAAGAATATCTATTCTATCTAACTATATCTATTAAAGAAATTCTAAATAGTTATTCTATAGTTATATAAAGTGCTTTTTATATATCTCTCTATATAATACTAGTAGATAAGAAAGTATTTATTCTTAATGAGAAAGAATTTTTCGATTATTCTATATTCGATTCTTACTCAGCGAGATTATAGAGTTATCGAACGAAACCGTATATATATTTTATATATTTTCAAGTGTCTACTAGTGCTGTTTTGAGTCTATGTTTTATTTACTAAGAGGTGGGGTAATATATGTTGGTATATTTTGAAAATGTGTGGTTACCGAAGGGGCTCTTAAACATCCAGTGGAGATGAGTTCAGTGGCACAGCAATCACCGGTGCGGAGCGACTAAAATTAGTCGACATCCCCCAGAAAAGAGTTGAAACGCACTGCGACGCTCGACAGCCTCCTTCAGAATATATCTAAAATATATCTAGAGCATTACTTCACTAAATCTTAATCGACGCCGAGCAACAAGCGCAATGGGTGAGTCACACTGCCTGGATAATAGGTGTGGTCCAGACGACACATCTCTCAGTCTCGGCTGCCTATCTGCAGAGAATGCTGACTTGCTCTCGCAGGTTATTCAGAAGTGAGCCTACCACGTACAAAGTCAGTGATACAACGAACAGAACACTGAAGGTGCGGCGCTAGATATACTGCAAGCTATGTGGCATCAGCTTCAATGTTGGTCGTGTCCGACGGCCGGATGAGCCGTATCATGCAGCATGGAGTGGGGGAGAGAACCAACTTCTAGGCGACGATGGTCATTATAAAAGTTTCGTGAGCAAAGACTATCTCGAAAACGAACGTTGTCCGGCCTCAGCAGGTTGTCAAGATGTTCCTAGATCACCCGCACCAGTGGATGAAACCCTGAGAGCCGATGAAGAGACTGGTAAGAGTGATGCCAATTTTGATGATGACGACACAAGTGATGATGTTTATCTCCCGGAAAGCGAAGAAGAAGATGAAGCATTTGAGTATCAGTCGGACGAAGACTTGATCGGGGATGAGGAGGAGGTTGACGAGGATGAGAATGCGGAAAGGAGCGGGATCAGCGATGTTTACTCGGAAGATGAGTCTATGGAGAACTACACAAGATCTTTCTGGGAGGAAGAGCCAAGGCGTAGCCTAGATGTTGGAGATCAGGCTACCATGCCACATGAAGCTCTACGTCGGCCAGAAGACAGCCCTGAAGCTGAAAAAGAGCACCGGCAACCAAAAAGCCAAGGCTCCATCGAGGCTTCACCGCATGATGAAAACGCGGACGATCACAATGGAACTGAAAATCTAAGCAAAAGCTGGAGCGAATGCGATAAGCTCGAGCATTTGGCCGGACCTGGCTGTGAGCATCGTGCTGGCTATTCCGGATTCGAGATCACCGTCGAAGAAATGGGAGGCTGTACTGTAGCGCAATGCCTTGTCCGCAAGGGACCGGAGTGGCAGCCTGAACCGGACGATCTTGACTTCGAGCTGACCAGCGACTACTTTCTCTCCGGCCTCATCGGCGCAATGCCTTCGCGCGACACCTGTTATAGTGCCGACTATACGCCCCATCGTCACGGTTGCGAGGATCTGTTTCCGGACACAGAGCTTCACCATGATGTAAGTTATGACGTCTAGAGACCGATCATTTCTGCGACAAGTCGCTAACGTGCTGACACCTCTCGTTCAGGAGACTGAGTTTGACACGCCTATGCCTTTCCACCCGACCTGTTTCGAGGTATTTATGCGCGCTTCGCGGTTCCGTCTTGGTCGCGTCGATATTGATGGACTAGCTGGGTGGCGCATGCTCGAATCCAACTGGAAACGTAGCGATGGGCCACCTCGTGATCCGGCCGTATGCAGAGGAAGGGATCAAGAATGGAACCATCGATCCGGTGACGCATGGATTGTTGCGAATCCAGTCCTCGTCCCATCGCTACGTTCTTTCCTGCAATCTTCATGGTCTCCACCGTCTGCGAGCTATGCACAGACGCAACCGAGTCCAGATGATCCGTTCCTGAAGCTACCGCGAGAGCTTTCGGACGCCGTTCTCGGTCTCCTCAGCCCGCTTGACAGAGCCAGTCTGAGATTAGCGTCATGCGCTACATACTTACCGCTTTCGCATTGGAAAAATCTTCTCAAGGAAGACATGCCCTGGCTTTGGGAGCTCTGGGATGATGTCGAGCCTTACTTCTGGGCTACAATGTCACTACCTGCTTTGTTCGCAGAGAAGAAGAGAAGAGACGAATTAGAAGGGCACATCTCTGAGGAGGTCAACATCGTTCAAGAAGAGATTGCAGAGATAGGGGAGTCCTGGAGCCGCGATCAGCCTTGGCCCGAGAAGTCCTACGCGACGCTGCAGTCAGCAGCAAAGGAGCCGCCGATAACGCTTCCGGCGGAGAATCCGAATTGGTGTCGGGTCTACTATGAGATCATGACGCACGCGGACGAGCTTCATGGCCTGCGAAATCGGCAAAGGATATGGACCGACGTTGAGGAGATTCTGAGGCGCATTCGAAAGTATCGTGATGAGGGTAGGATCCCAAACTAGACGGAAGGAGAATCTACCATGACTTTCGCAACACATTATCAAATTCAAAATTTTGTTGATTGTTGGATTTCTTCACTATGACTGAGGCTTCTCCACGACCGGTGTACCTGTGGAAGCTACGGGGCGCAACACCGTGCTCCAGCAGAATGCTGATTCAGAGGCGAGGGAATTGCGGGAGAAAATGACGACAGCTGAGCAAGAATTGGAAGTCTGTAGGGACGATTTGTTCAGACTGCAGCCCGTATGTCGGATATCTGACGGGAGCATCATCGGCGCCTTTGAGTCGCTCAGCGAACAGCTCATCAACTGGATCGACAGCGAGACCCCCGCTTTCGAAAAGGCCAACCCAGACGCGCATGAATCTTTCCTTATCTCCGGCAGCAAAGACTCAGATGTCGCAAGTTTCTTACAAATGCTTCCATCAGCTGTCGTATACCTGTGCAGACACAAGATTAATCGCTGCTTGTTAGAACATGTGTTTGACTCAAACATCTGCCCTTTAGGACTTTCGGCGGATTATACGGGCATGCTGCTGACTATCGAGCACGGGATGGCGGCTCTCAAGCCACCAAGTGGTTTGAGAGCACGCCTTCCAGACCCTCTCGCTATTGTGCTGTGTCTAATTATATCAGATTCCCGGAAGGTCTATATCTGGCGCACGGAGACTCTGAGCGCTCTTGCTGCGACTCAAGAATGCACAGACCTTAAAGAAGAACAGATTATTCAATGCACGCCAGCCCTTTTCGAGAATCTGTCGGTATCCTCCCCTGATTTCCTCGGACGAGAAGAGGTCCTGAACAGAATCCACGACCGAGTCACAGTGCCAGCAGCGATCATCGTCTCAGAGCTCCATGGATCAGCTTTAGTGTATAGGCTCGACATCCAGCGTTTCACCAAAGACGACCTTGAGAAAGTCATTGTGATCGATGTGGAGACAGAAAAGACTCTGAGGCCTGGTAGCGCGATTGTCTCGGATAGAGAGGCAGTCATTGGAGATTTTGTCTTGTCTCTGGAGCCAAGTCTTCATCGTGTGAGTGAGGGGGGGGAGTGACATTCACCCGCGCCCCGAAAGATGGCTAGTGAGAATTGATAGGAAGGCGCCTGTTTGTCTTTGATGACATCTAAGTCATCATAGGCGCTGATTTTGATTCATGTGGTATTAGTCTTCAGGGAGAATGTGGCTTTGCAATTTAGACTGGGACTCGTGTGGAAAAGATGCTGTATACTTAGGTACGAAGTGATAGAAGAATTCAATGATTGAGAAAGAAGAGTTCACTCCTGAAGAACCTGGCAGAAGCTAAGCGCATTGTCTAAGGTAGGTCGAGATCTTGGCGCAAAAGCCTTTTGACTTTGAGCATGTCAAGCGTACCTTAGTGCCGTTGCATAAAAGCACAAAAAAGTCAATCTACAACCCAATCTCGCCAATCTCATTCATGCAAGCCAGTCTCAATCGAGACGCGCCAAGACACGCCAAGACACGCCAAGGATGTCAAAAAGGGAATGGTGTCGCAGTCCAGGCGTCATTATTCCATCATCATTCCCCAAATTGAGCTACTCAGCACGTGAGAAGAGAAATGTACAAGGGGGCAAAATATGGCAAAGTACTTCACCATGTCCTTGACTTCCCGCCACCCACAACTTCTTGACCCATTCAATACAGAGCTGCTGTTGCTGCTGCTCACCGCCAACGCCCAGTCGCTCTTCAATCCCCAGCAGGATATTCTACAATTGTGATCATGTCTTCTGAAGGACTCCTGAGTAATGACAAAAATGGCACGAGCAAGAAGAAGGTTGTGATCGTCGGCGGGGGTGCTGCAGGAATGGTGAGAATTCTCCGAAGCTTCCTACCGCCATCGGGTACTGACTGACACGGCCTCCAGTCCTGCGCTGCCACCCTCGCCCAGCACCCAAACAAATACAAAGTCACCATCATCGAACGTATGTCCGTAGTCGGCGGTCAGGCGACATCCATACCCATCGACAAGGAGAAATATGGTACATCATGGATGAACGATGGCGTCCAGGGAGGCTCCCCAGCCTTCAAGCATACCTTCAACTTCTTCAAGAGATATGGCCATGAGCCCGAAGATGTCAAGCTACAGGTCGCTTTCGGCAAAGGCAAGGACGGCTTCTGGACGAATTGCTTCCCAAGCAATCTGGTGGACCAATTCTCAGGCGACATCAAAAAGTTCGGCAAGGTCCTGAAGCTGATCAAGTGGACGATGCCGGTTTTGGGCATCGTGCCTATCAGAATCATGCTGCGCATGTTCTTGTTCAACAAGGACTTTGGTGACAAGATGGTCTTTCCCCTCATTGCACTTTTCCTTGGAACCGGTACATTCGCTCCTCTCGACTTCCTCACAGAATGCAGCTGACAGTGGACAGGAAACCAAACGGCGAACGTCTCCTGCGCAATCCTCGAACGTCTCTTTGATGATCCCAACATGAAGCTCTGGGACTACGACCCAGAAACTCTCCTTCCCAACCTGCCTCTCATGGTCACCTTTCCGCATCTGGAAAAGTTCTATGGCGAGTGGGCTGCCGATTTGAAATCGCAAGGCGTGGATATACGTACAAACACCGACGTCACAGAGATAGTATCCCGCTCGAAAAAGGGCGTCGTGCTCAAGACTGCGCCCTTCGACCCCGAACAGGGCAAGACAGATTCGGGTCAGAGAGCTGGCGGCCACACAGGTCCAGAATCTACAACGGAGACCTTCGACAACCTAGTCATGTGCGTCCTCGCCGATGACGCTAAAAAGCTTCTCGGCAAGACCGCCACCTGGCGCGAGAAATTCGTTCTAGGTGGCGCTCACTTCTTCGACGACATCACCATCACCCACTCCGACTCCAAATACTTCAAAGAGAACTACGAGACACACTTCAATCCCGAGCTCTGCGCGAAACCCAAGAACAAACAACAGGAAGACCAGATCGCCTTCGCGAAGAACGAGCAAAAAGGACAAGATGGAGAGCCATCGGGGTACAGACCGATGTACTACACTCATTCTTACCCCGAAGATATGAAAAAGATCGAGATGGCCTTCGACTGCACAAACTACCAGCACCAATTCCGCATGGATCATGATGCAGATAAAGCACCCATCCCCTACGACAATCACGTCTTCCAATCTATCTTCCTCGACAAAACCCACTCTGATCTCTGGACGATTGACCAAATCGACGAATCCAAGATCATTGAGCGCAAATGGTGGCACCAGCTCGGTCACCGCTGGCAGCACTACGTCAGGGTCGTGCCAGGCATGATGTTCATTAACGGCAAAAACAATACGTTCTTTGCGGGCAGTTGGACGCTGGTGAACATGCACGAAATGGCGTGTGTAAGTGGTATTGCAGCGGCGTACAGACTGGGGGCGGCATATGAGAAGTTTGATGATTTCGCAGAGGATTTGTTTAAGAAATATCTTTGGATTAGTCACGGGGTAAGGTATAAGGGGGGAAAGAAGGTGCAGTAAATGGTAGTGGGTATCAACCTTGGATGTGTGTCATTACTGCTCGGCGTTCGAGAGTCACATTCTCCGGGGAAGGTCTTCCGATTCCTCTCCATATACCAACCTATCTAAGTCTTTTAGATTTATCCCTGTTGATTTAATATTGACCCGGGCTGCTTTGCGGCCGCCAAATTCCTTCCAAGCGGTGGTCGTTGACGATGCGCAAACTTTCCAGACTCGGGAATGTCACCATCTCACAGTCTGATGCGCATTCAGCCTACTACATGTAATCTACCAGTGCAAAATCCCTGCCATGAGACGACATCCCGCAGCTGACCACTGGCGTACGACACATACTTCTGGCATTTCGCCGATTATCAGCAACATTTCAGACATCAGTCGTGCCATACGCGCAATTACGGGAGCGATGAGGGAAGCCTGCGGGGGCTACAGTCCCCAATTTAGCTGCCCCGCGTACCTGAAGCTTGGTCGCAGAGAAGGTACACAAGGTCATCCCTAGCACCTTCACGGTATCTTTCGATTGTAAGCATTGACGCTCAGCATGAGCCCGACTATTTCGCTAAAAAGTGTTCGAGTTTCCTTTATACATACTTGAATCTTGCCTGTATTGCCTTCCTGCGACTCATAGTTGCTCAGCTAATCTCCTCTGCTCGATCTCCTCCCTTCATTACCCCAACAGCTCCAACCTTGAGATTCTCCCCGCGGTATTTCCGCGGCTGAAACGCCAGCTCAAAAGCAAAGCACAACTTCATATCCGGCCCCGCAGTCGTCTCCGTGTACTGATCGAACACATCACGGACGACACAGGGCCCCCAGCACTGCTCCAACTCCACGCGCAGTCCTTCGACCTTCTCGGCCACCGCAGCCGTGTTTGCAACCCAACCGTCGAGTTGCCACCACTCCAACCCCACCGTGACGGTCCGGAATCCGACGCACTCCTTCAGGGTCCGGAAGAAGCGTGTGGCCGTGAAGAGATGGAAGTTCTCGTCGAAGTCTCTGAAGGTGACGAGGAGGTTGTTTCGTTCAATCTTCGTTCCCGTGAAGTGGTCGACCGAGGCTTCGCATCTCGGATCCATGGCTGCGGGACGATAGACCGTCGGAGGGCGCCTCACCTTACCATCGTCCATGCTAACCGGGCTCATATCAACCCCCCACGCGCTTCTTCCGTAGAACTCAATGCCATCCTCCATCATACCGACGTACTCCCCCTCAAGCGGTGCCCCCGTGTCAATCACAAACTCCACATTCATCATCTTCTCCGTGGCTCCCTTCGGCGGCGGACGCGAGAGGCGATCGTGTCCGTCGAAGCGGATGAGGTAGGCGAAAACGGTCGCGTGGGAGAAGAGGCGGGCGCCGGCTTCGGCGCCGAGGGCCTTTGAGACGCGGAGGATCTCGAGGTCGGCGGATACGGTGGGGTTGACGCCGTCGGGCGAGGCGTGGCCGTCGTGCTGGTGGGAGGTCCAGAAGACGACGTAGCTTGCGTCGAGGACGTGGTCGTAGATTTGGTCTCGGAGTTCGGGCGGGAGCAGGGAGAGGGTTCCGATTGGGTTGGTGCTGCCGGTCGGGGTGATTGACATGGTGATTGGATTGAGGGTAGATATCAGCTGGGATTTTTTTCCGGGTGGGGGAACGTGATCGCACGGTTTGCTGGGGGATGGTTGTTAGGAGATCGGTTGGATGATGGTGGGAGTGTGGAGATTGTGGGTTTTATGAATGTTGTTGGATCGAGTCGAGGAGTGTTGACTGTAGTGCACAAAGAGCGGAGACTGAATTTGTCTACAGAGAGCATCGTGTCAACAAAGAGCCTCGTGTCAACAAAGACTGATGCTCTCACATCTTCGAGCAGAACCAGACTCTTATCACCTATTTCGGCCATCTGCTAACCACGAATACATCCATCCGCATCCATCTCAGGCGTTGACGTGTGCGCTTGGCGGTTAGGTTTGGCGGATGGGTGGGGCGGGTGATGGAGGACGAGTAGTGATGGGTTGGATGTGGTGTGGTGGTGATGGTGTCATGTCGTTCTGAGGGAGTCTGGGTGGGAAGAGTGGGTGTGATGTGGTGTGCGGTGGGTTGGGAATCCTGAAGCTCAAGCTCGAGGCTTTGTGTGCGTGAGATAGGTCTTTCCCTTGAACGGGAGCCGCGGCTGTAGGTGGAGGGATCATCTGGCATCTCTAAGCGTGAACTCGCGGCGAAAGATCTTTATTCCGGATCTCGCGTGGGAACATCGAGGAATCGAACCGTTCTTGGCTGCGTGAGAACTGAGGCTCGGGCCATTTTGGATAAGTTGCTTGGTATCGGTGCTGAAGTGTGACTGTCTGTGTTTCATGGACTCGGAATTATAGTCGTGGGAGAGATGGTGTATTGAAAACTGGGTGTCATTCACGGACGGAGAAAGGCGGGGATATGGGATCGGTGTTCAGAGCTTTTGGGTGATCATTTTCGTCAAGCGCGACAAGAGATGGAAAGTGATATTGAATACTGCAATTCTCTCTGCGGCGGCTCATGATTGGGGACCTGCAGCTCAAGCCGTCCCCATCCTTTACTGCCTTTGAAGAAAACGAATCCCAGCCCAACATTTGCTGATATACCACAAAGAGGGATCTGGTGTGTGTAGCATCCAGAAAAGAAACAGTACGACTCATGAGATCGTTGGCTCTAGCGGTAAAAGCACGCCAGACCCAGAGCGACTTCCAGACCGAGTGCGGCACAGAACCAAGCCAGTGAGGCTTTCGCTTTCAGCGATTTCATGGTCTTCCCGGATTCCGTCACAGCCTTCTCCATGGCCTCTTTCCATTCTTGTTCAGACCCTCCAATTCCTTCCGAGCCTGCTCCTTGGCCTCAGTTACTTCGTTCTTGGCAAACTGCAATTGCTTCTTGAGATCTTGGCCTTCCTTCTTGGCCTCTCCTAGTTGTTCTTGAGCCTTTCTCTTAACCTCTGCCAACTCTTTTGTGACACCCTCCAACGCCTTCTTAAACCGCCTCCCTTGCTTCCTGACCTCCTGCACTTCCTCTTTGATTTCGTGCAATTCCTCCGTCACGTCCTGTAGCTCCTCCTCGACCTCCTGCAGTTCCTCCTTGACATCCCTCAACTTTCTCTCAGCCCTAGACCTAGCCAGCTCTTGCCGCTGCGCCAACGATACCCGCAACTCTTCCAGCCCCCGCTCGAGTTCTTCTCGTTCCCTAACGAAATCCTGCATTCGTGCCTCCTCATCCGCAGAAAGATCCAGGGCCTCCGTCGCCGTCGGCTGCGGCTGCTCACAGAACTGTTTCAAGAACTCTTCGTACAAGAACATGACACGATGCATATGCTTGCCCGCCACAGTGCCCGTCAGCCCTTCCCGCTCCAGTCCATTCAGCAACACATCGAGGGCGTTCTTCTTCGAAAACGTCACCGGATCGCCGCCGAACATCATCAAAAGGCGCAAGAGCGGAACGGCCGCCTTCCAGCTTTGACCACTGGGGTTTCTGTCGAAGGACGTCGGCATGAGCTGCGCGCGGCAGAGAGGGCAGCGGTTGGTGAAGTCGGATGTGAAGACGAGGTGGGCCAGACATTGGATATCGAAGATGTGGCCGCAGTCTAGCTGTACGGGACTGTTGACTGTGTCTCCGAGCTTCCACGCGTTGTTGTCGAATGGCTCTTGGCAGATGACGCAAAGTTGATGATGGGTTGGGATTTTCTTGATTTTGATGTTGGAGACGGTGAGGAGGAAGTCGAGTTGGGCTGTCGTCTTTTTTAGTTCGGTTATAGTGTTTGAAGAGATCGGCATGGTGATTTTTTCTTGCTTTTAAGAGGGAGGAAGAGTTGAGTGGAGCGCTTTAGTATTCCAGGTGTGATGAGGTTGGCAGTCTTTGGTGGTTGAAAGCTTTTGATGAACCCTGAAGTATTTGTAACATGTGGTATTTTGAGGCAGGTGCGCCAGTGTGTTGACAGCAAGAGAGTTGGGTAAGAGGTTCGGTAACGCGGCCGGGGCTCGTGTTAAGAACAATGAAATTCATCGTATACAGCTGGGTGTTCTAGTATTGTTTGGGTAGAGGTTAGGGTGGAATCAATCTCACCACCGTACACTTTTGCGTACCTCGTCTCAAAAGTTGCACAGGATGCGCTGTCACTGTCGCCAGACACCGTGTCAACATACGGGCAACAGCAACATGGTACGGAACAGAATGGAATAATTTTCACCTATCGCGGTGATTACCCTAAAACGGCTATTGTTAATTCGGAAAGAAATGGATCCATCGACGTCACCATGCCATTTTCAACATCAAACAAATAGATTCACTACAGGCATTTCAAGATTTTCCCTCATTAGACTCAAACTAGGTATGCTTGAAGATCGAGACCTTTTCTGAAGAATTACTAGACAAAGAGGACTTCCCCCCAGAGCCTTCGCGCCGCCGAATCCTACTCGAAGGGTATGCCGAGGATTACCAGGCTGAGAATAGCCAAAGCCGTCCGACTCGGTTGACTCTGGGCGACAGCAATTGTGCAGGCGATCAACCACAACCGTAGAAGGATCCTGGACGGGCGCTCGTACAGCGTCACCAGCGTACCCAAGCTTCCGGAAAGCCGCCCGCAGAGACCCAACAAGGCAAGGGTGGCCACCATTCCATACAGAAAAAACATCCCAGTCGACCTCTTCAACGCTTCCCGAGCCCCATTCAATGCCTGCTGCGACCTTTTCAATTTCTGCTCAGTGAGGTCGTGAATTTCCGTCATCCGAGCCACCAGAGCCTTTGACCGCTCGTACCGGCCATCGAGTTCTCTTCGTATGACCTGTTGACGCCTGAGATCTCGCCAGAGATTTCGCAATCCTTCCTCTGCGGCTTCCAGGCGGCGCCCATCCTCGACTGGTGGTGGGAAATCGCAGAACTGGTTTAGGAACTCTTCGTATAGAACCATGGTGCGCTCCGTATGCTTTCCCGGCAAAGGGACTAATTTCTCCCTTTCGAATCCTCTCTGCAAGAAGCCCAAAGCTTGTTCCTTGGCGGCAGAAGCCACATCCCTATCGAGTATCGTAAACAGTTGCAGGAGTGGGGCAGCCACCTGCCAGCTTCGGTAGCTCGTTGCTTTCTCATATGAGTCCGGAATAATCCGGGCGCGACACAGTGGACATGTGTTGGCGAAGTCGGAGGTGAAGACCAATTTGGCGAGACAATTGATGCCGAAGATGTGCCCGCAGTCTAGCTTGACAGGACTATTGATGCTGTCTCCCTTCTTCTTCCATACTGTCTTTTCAAATGGTTCTTGACAGATTGAGCAATCTCTCCGGTCTGTGGGTATGTTTCCGACTTCGACATCCAAGACGGTGAGTAGAAAGTCGAGTTGGTCAGTGATCTTCTTAAGATCGGATACTGTCTTTGGAGAAATCGGCATCGTAATAGCTCTTCACGGGTTTAGATGCTAGTACACGGGGATGGAGCGCTTAGATGGTCTGGTTGCGCAAGCTCTACATAATTTTTTCTGTGGGAGGTAATATGACGAAAGTGTGGTTAAGTCCGCTGTGTTGAAGATAAGAGGAGGGTCCTAGACTTGGAGTCCATAAGGCAGCATCTGGCGCTGGGGATGTGTTGACCGCAGCCCATGAGAACTTCTTGGTCATACAGAAAATCATACAACTTCAACGTGTAGTGACTGATCGAGACTTGGTGTCGGGACCGGGTCTCACGGGAGCTACAGTGTTTGTACTGTTCAATGTTCTGGTGCCCGTTTGATCTTAATACGTAGAATGGGTAACAAGAGCCAACTAGACTGGATTTCGAACTATGAGAACGGTGACCTCTTATCGAGGACTTGAACTCGTAGCCCCTATGCACATATCCAAAACTAATAATGTTGTACCCGTGACATGCCCCAACACAGTCAGTTATTGGGGCACTGTGGAATCATTAATCCAAGTACCACATCGCCCTTCTGCGAACTAGATAGGCCTCATAGGAGGGCCCAAGAACATTGCCGAAAATGAGTCTCAGTAGCTGCTCTCAGCCATTGGCACAAAGTGCGGATTTTGAGTCATCGACCCTCACCTTACCACTGTCGGAACGATAATCAGACTGCGATCATGATGCCCCAGGGTTCGATGTTGACGTCATGGCACTGAGGCTTTTTGGGCCAGGTATCTCCGTGGGCGGACCTCAAGGCAACGAAGCCGCCATTCACCCAGCACCAGCCGTAAATCGGCACTGATTTTGGCCTTAGCACCATCCCAGTATGCGGCCTTCGTCTTCCCACACGATTTACTAGAGGTTTCCTCGCACATGGTCTCGAAGATCTCACTGTATTCAATGGTCGAGGTTTTCGAGACAAGACGATTTGCAACCCTCCCAGAACTACTATTGTAGGGTGAAAAATTATTACTGGACTTCACAAACACTTCATGACTTTGAACCCTCAATCACACCCCCTTCATATCCGGCTCCCTCGAATTATGCGCCCCAGTATGATCGATATCTTGCTCCCTCACCACGTCAAATAGCTCAAACTCGAATTGCCTAAAGATTCTCGTCAGTCCGATTTGCAACTCTGCTTTTGCAAAGCTGTGTCCTCCAGTCAGCAAAGCACTGATATAGTCTTTGCTGCTGGGACTATGGGGCCTGCGAGACTTATTACATGCCAAGACAGCCGATCCTGCGAGGATTGCAGCCAACGCCGGGGTATATAATCGTTGGGCCAGGGAGAAAGCGCGTATCGTAGGAGTTTTGGTTTGAGGTCATAGAGATGCGAGTGTTTTGTTTTAGTCAGCGTCGACGCAAAAAGGCTCGTACTATTAGAATCTTTGGATAGGGAGGTGCAAAAGTGATAGGGAGCAAGGCACACCGATGCCAACATAGTTTACGTAGGATGTTCATAGCTACTTACCCCGGCTTGTATGAGTCAAATGCTCATACCACCCATTAATATGAGCCACCTCGGTCGTAGGCCTCGGAAAGATGCGCATCCTGCAACGATGCATCTCCACGTCGCAATCGCCAAGCTAGCATCGCTCTCTGGTCTTTTTCGCGGATAGGAGGTTAGCTCGATGGTGTCAACCGCCCTAACTAGGCTCGTACCATATAATATCTTCGAGAACACTCCTGCGATAGCAAGTGGTCTCATAGTTGATGCGTCGACCTCCGCACACGCAAGACTTGCGGGCTGGAACCAGATGGGTTAACGTTCGTTGTACTCCTCTTCTTTAATCGAGGGAAGTTTCGGTGGGAGAAGGCTTCCTAAATGGCAGCGTTGTCACTCTGCATGAGGATTGTCCTGTTCGAGAGTCCCGAGGACGAAATCCGAGATATTTAATGCAATTTCGGTCATGAATCGTGGCAGAGCCTAGCGCCAATCGATATTCCTCTTTCATGAGTTGATTCCTTCCAGCAAACCATCAATGCTTTGATCAACAGCCTGGTAGGACCAAGGATGGAAGATCATACCATCTGACCTCTTGCATTGATATTTGCACGACAACAGTGTCAAGAGCCACTAGCTTCCTCCGTATCCGGAGAGATGGGGTCTCATTGAGCAGAAGGCGACCGCGATGACTGATTCGAAAATAATAAGGAAAATGCCTCACTTGTCTGCGTGTCTTCGAGTGCAGCGACCCTGGTTCTGCTGTAGAGATCTCAAAGGCACTGCTTGCCGAACGCAGATCGCTGCTGATTTCGATTGCAGCAGCGGACTTCTTCCCGAAGTTGAGAATCATGAAACCATCTTTGTAATATGTGTCTAGGATCTTGTCAATCAGCAAGGATCCTGGATCATACAGTTGGTTACATGCACGCGACTGGTCACGCGCATATATAGGCTTGCTGCCGGTAAGTTTGCAGTCATATCCACGGGTCCGTTGCAGCGTAACGATGTCAATAAAGATACTAGGAGTTCATATCGAGCAATGCCTTTGTTTGAAGTGATTTCAGATATCGAGTGCCGAAGGGTTCCGGTTTATTAATCCAAAAATCCTGTACTTTGGCTGAAGCTAGCATCCACGAACGCCAATGTTTCTGGCAGCATGCCTGTTTCAGGCTCAGTCGTGAAGAATCTCTTCTAGCTATGCGTGGTGCGTGTGGAAAGGGGTGGATAATGCCTTACTACTCGAAACTCTCTTCAACATCACGATCTGCGGTGTGTGATGGTGGTAAGCCAGGCTGCCAAAGCTCATTTGAACAGCGAACTTCATTCCCATTTTACTTTACAATTACCGGCCCGAGCTGGGCTCCCATATCTGCGTTGCGCAATCATAGAGTCTTGGTCATGGATGATAGATTGTGAGCCATAGATGGCTGCTGAAGTTGAAGCCATATATGATTGTTCTCGGGAACATGATGATGCCCTTTGAATTCAAGAGAAAGAAAGCCGCCTTTTCTCTGTCGAGCACGCGAAGTCTTCTCATTGGTCAGAAGGTCATAATCCTGCGTCTCGGCAGAAGTCCATGGAAGTCTGCGGTTCGTTCGTTTTTTCTCGGTACACCCCCAAAATAGGGCCAAGTCGCAGGTGTTCTCTGCAAGGTATCATCCTTCCACATCTAATCTCAAGGCACGATACAAGTGCAAGGCTCATCTGCCATCTTACTGTGTCACGTTAGGGATAACCGTTCACCCTTATCCACCTGATCAAATCACAAATTTGTGAAGGAGGACTCTCAGATTTGTGAACTTCCATCTCAGATTGGTGAGCCTTCGCAGCAAATTCGTGAGCCTTTTTTACAGAATTGTGAATATCCTTCGCAGGTAACCGCACCTCTGTCCAAGTGTGTTACAAACATCTGTTTGTTGCCATCGAAGCTAACCATCTTGACAGACTATCCACACTCCGGCTCGAGTACCGCTTGCATATGGATAGCGAAAGCACAAATTAGAACAGCTTGGCTCCAGCGCAATTTTTTCGTCCATCTCCAGAGCACTTGCAAACTGTTGAAAAAAAAGTTTGGTGAATCTACAATCTCGGTGTCAGGATTGAAAAGGGCAATGTCAGTGAATTCCCACCACTTCGATGAGTGTACCATTGACGCCCAAACAGTGAGCTTTACCTACCACAGCTTGTGTCTTGCCCAAAACTCCTCAATTCCCATCAGACTATTTCGCCGCTTCGATACACTCTTCCTCCATCTTTCACTGAACGGTCAAGATCGGGAAATATGGCTGGAAATAGTTGGTCCAAGGTCCCTCGAGAGATCAGGGATCAGATCTACATCAATATGGTCCAAGGGAAAAAGTACGTGCTTGTTGACGCTGAGGGTTCCCCTGACAAACCCCTGAGCGCCTTTTACTACCGCGAGCTCGACTATTCTCCTCCAGCATACGCCGGTCTGCTGCGAGCGTCTAAAACCATCAGCAACGAATTACAAGAGGTTCTTTATAAGGAATGCGTTTTCCGTGCCTACCTCTCCAAACACCGATACCGCCTTGTGACACCCCCGGAACCCCGAGAATTCGCCCGCATCCAGAAAATGGAAATCGTTCTAGACAATGCTATTTACCTAGCGAACCCAATTACTCTACCAGGAACAGATGTACGAGGTTTCGATTCGTATTACGGGGAATGGTTCGAGGCACTTGGGGGTTCTGGCGCCGACCACGAATTTTGCCGGATCAGGATCATAAACATTGCTCCAGAAACATTTTACCTCACGCCGGTCTGTAGACAGCTTCTGTATGCACTCAAATCCTTCACCGGCTTCGGCACAGTGATTGTGGAGCTTGGAGACTTGCCAGATTCCCAGGCCATCCAGCTTCCGGCTTCCCATGGAGCGAATCCTCAGGTAAAGGATGAACCACCTGAAGAGCCGATGTATGCAGGAGCAAGATTCGAGGCTTTGAAGAGGACTATAAAGATCGAATTGGAACCATATCTTGGGAACTGCATCTACTACGACCGTGGTCTTCTACGTTGTGTGGAGTTCCGCCCTCGGACCGATGATCCGATACCACCAGGCTGCGCCCCATACATCGAGGCGTGGGACGAGTGACCGCGCCATCAGAGACCAAAGCGTGTCGTCAGTGAATGGGAGAAATGCTGCTTGTACTTACGGAATTGGTAGAGTCAGAGCTGTTTCATAAGGAGGGCTACAAAGTTTCGAGATGGAAACAGACGTCGTCTTGCATGAAGAGAGAATAAGACTAACAAAACCCTCTCTACAACAGGGTGCGGGGACAAAGAAGCCTAAGTTGAGAAGGGCCTCGCAGAACGACAACAAACGCTATTGTCAGATTCTGGGTATTAGTCTTGTTACGTCAATTTCAGATAAAACTCCAAGAAATAGCCGCCTTTTCATAAAAAAAACTGCTGTAGTCCGAACGTCCAATGGCAAGAACTTCTAGCTGGCTCGGATCATGTCAGCATTTCGAGAAGTTGTACCGCTTCGACACTAACAGGATCTCGAGACCCTTGGCTGCCATCTCCGAGTCGAGGGTCTGAGGATTCGATCATGACGATATCGGACGTGCAAGACCCTCCGAGAGAAAGCCGCTCATCACAAACCGTTTTCGGTCAGCCCACATCTTTAAGTTACAGCCTGCTCTCCTTCGCTCGTCTCTCCCTGAATTCAACCTGGACCTTCAAAATCTCATCATTAGCCTTCTGCTTAAGGTCGATTACAACAGGTCTCCGAAGATCATGAGAGCACATGACATAATAGACATTGCGACCCCATCGGTAAAAATCGTGCCGCAACATAGTGATGCAACAATAGCACCGCTTTCCCCTCCGCACCCCCTTCGAAATTGTAAATCTAGACTTCCATTGCAATCCATCAATCAAATCACGATGGCCGATAAAATCTGTTCGCCTTCGCTCTTTCTCCTTAATTTTAGGCGTGGGTTCTAGTATCTCATCTCGCCACAACGGGACTGTGGATCGGTGGATGTCATGATATAGTCGCTTGTTCCAGATATGCCGGGGATACGAGTCTACTACAGACTCCATATCTACCTGTTCTGCACCAACAAGTGGCTCTTTATTCGAGTTCACCTCGTTCACAGCCATTGCATTCTTTCCCACACACGCACGCCTGCGCACATCTATTATTTCACTCCAGATCTATGCCACGTTGGCATGAGAGACTCTGGGAGTTGAGGTACGAGAATACGCATGTTCAGGCGTCTTTTCAGCTGCTACCCCTGGCGTTGAGACAGCCTAACCATTTGTCGATATCCTATGTGTACTCTATGTGTGATATACGTCAGAATGAAAACACCAAAAGTGACGTTATACTCCTCAGCTCATAGCTTTCTGCTCGAGGGTAAGGAAAAGCGCCGTACAAGCCCTGTATCTAACTACACATACTTTGCTCATACTATATTTTTTTCGATTTTCTCTAGCTGGACCACTCGGGCAAATATAACCGTTTCTGCTTATGTTCTCTCCATGGGGATCCCTATGTCCCTATGGGAGCCATCTAAGAAGGTATGACACCGATATGGGGTCCTGCCAGCATTCGCAGGGAGCCTCACGAATGTTTCATTGCGTTTGGGTTGATTTGGAGAGGTCGAGGCGGGAAAGGCGAGACGAGACGACGGAATAGACAAGCTCCTAAGGCAGAGTAACGTGCGTTGCTGGTCTCAGGCGGTCACAGAGCTAGATCATTGAGCGGCGTGACGTGAGCAAGGTGCATCATGGTGACATGTTTGCTTAAGTGGGCGTGTCTCCAAGTCTTGCTTGTGATGAACATGTGGCAGAAAGTGTGTGCAAATCATAAGAGGCGAGCAAGCGTCGCGCCGGACCGCCTGTTCCGTCTTGTAGCTGTTGAAAAACTATGCAGATTGCTTAGTAAATCACCAACTAGCAACAACACCTTGCGAGTGCTATAGGTTCCCTCGCGGGTAAAAAAAAGCCTGCATACTAACCAAACAGAGATCAATAGCGATCTCCTGTTAAAAATAATAGGCAAGATGTTATGACTCTCTATCAATAACCTATTATTTAATCATCGTTATCTATAGTAGCTTATAATCCATTAAATATACTAGCTACTCTCTTATTTATAAAGTTCTAATATATATATTTCTTCTCGAATTCTAATAACTTACTATTACGAGCGTATTCTATATCTCCCTTAATATATTATTTAGCTCTATTGCCTATTAGAGCCTAGCGTATCTTAGTAGAGATATCTACTACGACTTAATATCTTTTATCTATATAGTTATTCGATATATAGTTATCTTATTTAATATATCTATATTAATATTATATCTATATCGATTCTAATACTTACGACGTAAAGAGTTTTAATAGACGAGTTATATATATATAAGTAGTTTTATAAAATTAAAAGATCTACTTTTAAGACGCGTAATAGCGAGTTTATAAATAATAAATAGAGAGTTTATAAGCTATTTTAGATCTTTTAATATTTTAGATATATTACGTATAAAGAATATAGCGAGTTTTTCGAAGCGCTAAAAAGAGTAAATATCTTTAATCTTAATAATTCTAGCGCTTTCTTCTATTCTCGTCTTAATTTTATTAATATATATAAAAGAATAAGATAGAGCTTAACTTAATAAGTATTTCGCGATTAATAATTTTAATAATAGAGTTAGAATATCGAGCTTAATATAAATATTTCGATACTATTAAAATATTTATATATAATACTTCTTTTCTTCTTTAATTAGAAAATAACGAATTATATTAAATAATAAGTTATATACGATTATATCGCTAATAATAAGTAGAGAAACTTTATATTTATTTATCTTATAGATATAATCTATAATAAATATCTCTTAACTAACTCTTAATATATTTAATATAATTTCTTAGAAAAAAAGAATATATAATCTAAATCTTAAAGTTCTTTAGAAATTTAACGTAGTAAATATTAGAATATAAATATTTTATTAATACTTACATCGATATAACTAATTATAATTCTTATTAATAGATTATAATCTTTATATTATAGATATCTTATAGTTTTAAAATAAAATTCTCTTCTTTATTTTTATAATATAAATTTGAAATAATCTTATCTAAGATTATATAACTCTTTATATACTTAATAATAACTTTCTCTATTTTTTAATAAGAGTAATCTAGTAAAGAATATTATACGCTATTTATAGAGTAATTAAATAGTTATATAACGCGTTATATATTTTAAATTATTAATAGTTATTAGAATAATACTTAATTATAATCTAAAACGAATATTTATCTAAATAAGAGAATCTAGAAATTCTCTTCTAATTAATAGTTACTTTTATTTTATCTTCTCGAATATAGCGTAGTTATATCTTATTTATAATACTCTTTTAATTTTTCTTAATATAATAGATAATATATTACGAGAAAGCGTATCTAGTTATTAATTATAGCGTTAAAAAAGCGTAAATCTTATCTAAATAATAGAAGTTCTCTAAAGTATACTATATTCGTAATATAATAATAATATAGTCTTTTAAAAATATACTATTAAATCTTATATAAAAAACTTTCGCGAATAATATTTAATAAATATTTTAACGATAATAATAGTAAGTAAAATAAAAGATAAAAATATATTAAATTATAAAGAAGACTTTTAATCTTATTTCGACTATATATAAGATTTATATTTTATATAATTAACGACTATATAAAAGCTAATTTAATCTAAGAATATATATATATTTAAAGAAGATATAAAGATTAAAAGAGAATATATCTATATTATCTATTATTATATATCTTAAGTTTCTCTTTAATCTTTTATCTTCTAATAATATAATTCTTAATATTAATATTATAACTTAAAATCTATCTTTATCTAGAATTAATATTTAAATTTTTTATATATTTAACTTATTAATATTAATATATAACGATAAAGATTACGATATACTTAATATAGACTTTCTTAGACTCGAATAATAGAGAAAGAGATATTAATATTATTTTCGATCTTACGATTAGATTTTCTATTCTTAAATCGTTTATAAAAACGATAGCGTATATATGAATATACTATTCTTTCTATAATGCATATCTGCTAGATGACGATATAGCTTTTTTCAAGAAAGGAGGAAAAAAGAGAGGATTTGTGTGTGTTTTTGATAGGGGATCGCTATTAGTCTCCATTTGGTTAGTGTGCAGGCTTTTGTTTTTACCCGCGAGGCTCCATCTCCTTAACACTCCATCTTCAATGGCTCTCCGAGTCCCTACATCGATCCCACCAACCACAGCAACTGATATGGTCCCTCCTCAACATTTCGCTTCGTGTCCCGGCATTGGCTACACACAGGTGAACTCTCGTGGCTAATAACGAAAGCAACTCCATAAATCAACAGCATCTTCTATCTGCCTTTCTCATCATGGACTCGCCATCAGCGTACGGTACATTATCGGCGTTTCCAGTAGAAATCAGGCGCCAGGTTTGGCACGAACTTCTCTGCGAGCCCGTCGCAATCCTCACGCCTTTATGGGTCCTCCGTTCCCGGGATGGATTATACTATGTCAAAATCCCTGAGCGCACTCCTGTAGACGTCGCCATTTTCCGGTCCTCGCAAGCATGCGGGGTCGAAGCGATGGAAGTCTTCTACTCGGAACACACCTTCTCCTTCTGCGCGCTTCCGAGCCTATGGGAGCTCGAGTGCATGGACATCAACTACAGCCTGAGGGTGGCTCAATTCATCACAGATTTCAGAACCAGGATGCCGTCGTACCCCACACAGTTGGCTGCCCATCACATCAGGGACGTCAGGATGTCGATCAGTATTCCGCGTTCCAATGGCTGCTTCGGGAGCTACCAAACGTCAGACCATTCACTGTGTATAGCTTTGATGCACAAGTTGCAAGCCTCGGGCAAAGTTCGCAAGACCTGCTCTATCGACCTTCTGTTCTTCGGCATTGATAAATGCCCGGAACTCATTGAGGTGCTCGGACCAACCTTCTTCCGAGCCTTCAAGACCTTGACGGCATTCAACAAGGTCACCATCAACAGCAGCGGCTTTCCAAGACCTGCATACCTGACTTTCAATCCTGACAAATCATACGCATCTTGTCTAGACTGCTACAAAAATACAGCTCTAATATGCTACGTCATGCAGAGAATCGTGGAAGAGCTAGAACCGGCATTGGGACCTGCGACCGTGCTGGACGGTAGCTATACGCACATCGCTGAGTTTCGCCCACGGATTCGTCCAGCGGAATCTGGGAAAGCGGGAACAATATTGGCGGTTCAAACCAACATGGGCAACAGGGGAATCGGGCTCAAATCATTGATTGAGAGGCTTGGACGTCACCAAGCTATGAGAACTAGTGAATGGGGCTTGTTTCCATGCGGAAGGCGTGCCATGAGCGATGGTGTATTCACAATCTGGTCGTACTCTAAGGAGAGAATTGCAGCAGCGATCTCAAGGATAATGAATTGAGGCTTGAAGACAGAAGCGTTTGACAGCCTGCAATGTATGACATTCGACTCAGTAAGTTTTCGTGCTAGAGAGGTCACTATCACGACAGCATTATCATGCGTGACCGTTTTTGTACAATTGTGTAAATCTTCCTGACATTGCAAGAGCTCAGTATGTAATGGGTATCAACCGCTGCAAGACTGACGTAGCACGCCATGACTCGCTTTGTAACTCGTGTTGATCCCTCGCCGCCAACACTAGATCACCGTCGCCAAGCCTTGATGCACTAACAAGTTCCTCCCCTTTCCCATGGAGCGCGACTCCTTGCTGAATTTCAGCCCGGCCAGGAGGGTGGCGAAAAGTACGTGAACGCATCAAGCGCTCTTTCCCAGGTCGACAGGATGTGTGGATCTGACTGATCTGGAAGGCATGTAGCGCAGAAGTCGAGGGCCAGAGGCTTTTTGATCACGGCCATACGCGTACATCTGACGGCGGTAAGGACGAAACGCTGGAACTACTCTGTGCTTCTGCATAACGCACTAGTGAGCCTACAAATACGAACAGGATCAAGTGTGACATGGTATCCTCAAACTTTGATGCGTTGGGAACCCATGTCTCTTTCGGTCCGCCTGCTATCATACTTGCAAACAATGCACGGCCGAGCCTTGTGAGTGCAGGATTTTCAGGCTGCAGACTTTATCCTTGCCGGGGAAGTACAGCCTCAGATCTTCGTCTGAAAAATTCACTGGAAGTTTATGAGGGCGACGAATTTGTGCGTATGTATGATCCCCCAAGCCCTTAATCCCCTTATTGCTCTTTGGCTAGGACGGTACTCTCTGTGGAGCTGACAATCGAGACGATGGCAGTGGTCATCATGCCTCACGATACGGAGATGGTCCGTCAGGCAGCGCCAGTGACTCTCATAGTTGCACCGACTGCCTAGAAGCAAGACATCAGCAGAGTGAGGTCGAAAAGATGCCCGATCGTACGGATTAATTAGAGGTCATCTGATCGCACCCGCTTTCGACCGAATCGGAGCCTTTCAACGTGGGCAGCCCTTTGTCCGCTTATCCGTACAATTTGCAGAAGCTACATCCTGTGCAGACTTTGCGGCGGCCTGATCTGGTGCCATCTGGGCGCAAGGAACGTTTCGGTGCGTGTCCGTGAAGTCTGCATCACAGTCGACGCATGCGAGACCTCCACAATTTGGGTAGATGACACAAGTATCCATTGTCGGATCGTACCGGCCTCCAGACTGGCATGTTTCGACTCGGCAAGTGGGTGGTCTGCGTCCACGATGCTAGCGTGTAGCGTTCGTATCTAAGGGTTCGTTTGACTCGCTTTGTTTCTCTTAATGTGACAGAGGTCTAGATCGTACCTGGCAAAGGTCTGCGGATCCACGAAGGCCTTCACGACTTGATATCCGAGCAACTGCGGACACGATGGACACTTGAGTTGGTCGGCTCTCTTGCTGTCCAAGTCTGTCCCGAAAAACTCGGCGACGCAATGAAGGCACACGTCAGTCTCATGACTGCAGATATCGGTGACCATCCATCCGCCTCAGGGTAGTGGTTGGAATGAAAGTAGTAAAGGAAACGATGCAGTCATGACCAGTTATTCCACCGCCCTGTGCAATCGAGGGGCCCTGGCTCAGTGAAGCCATCGATGGCCAGGCAAAGGAAGCTCGGGAGGACGAGGCCAATAAGGACCAAACGAATGATGGTGTAGTCGTCTCTAGCAATGGCATGCGATTACCATGACTGTTGCCATTATGTTCCCAGCAAGAAGATCTCAGGGACGTACGTCAGAACCCGCTCAAGTATCTGCCCTCGGATCAACACATATGTCAACATTGCGACAGCGGGTGTGCTTGACCAAAGCTGGATCGATTGGTTGTCCAACAAAACGGGTGTCTTTGTGTAGGTTGGCGGGTAAATATAGATGCCTGCCTGGATGCTGTTCCAGACCTCAGGCCATGACAAGGAATGTTCGATGCATATACCTGATTGACAGTGTCAAAGAAGTTGGGATTCAATGGTTTAGACTGGAGATATTTCGGAAACTCATCAAACGTCTTGTACATCAAACTCTCTGCCCAGTGTCGCAAATCAAAAGATCCGGCGAGGAGACTTCGAGTGACTTGCAGTCCTAGCACAGAGTATCACCGCATTGCTCTCCAGTTTTCCACTTGTAGAAGGCATGTGAGCATTCAGCTCATGTTTTCTTGCTCGCTTGTTGGAAGCAGGAAGCACAGGCGTAGTGACACTGGAAGACAATATGTGGTATCGCCGGGTCCAAGCCAGAATCCAAAGCCCGCACGCATCTGAATTGAGTCAGGGGTGCTAGAATATGCCTCATTGAGCTGCGAACTCACTGTATTGGTCAGTATCTCGGGTACTTACCACGGATAAGGATAGGTGTGCCAGTAGAGGTCGTACAGCAAGATCAAGCCTTCCGGTCAGAGATCCGTCTATCCTTCTTCTCCAATGGATCATCAGGTAGAGTAGAGTACGTACGTCACGAATCAGTGATGCGCTGTAACAGAGCTGCGTATCCCATGGCCTCGCGAGGTCTTCGTTTCAGGGGTAATTCTGATCCTTTGAAGTATCCTCAGAGGAGATCGCCAATCTTTTGGTGTCATAGTTGTTGTTTATCATGCGATCTTAAACATTGTCAGCAAAGTTTTATTCTACGAATACTGTTACGCGAAAGATATTAGTTTGGTCAAATTGAGTTGGAGGACTATAATGTGTTGAGTGCTTATTGAAGCACTGCCAATCATCGACTGTTCCTCAAGACTAGTGGCAATAACACGGGGTGGGGAGTATAGCGGGACGTTGATTGATGCAACGGAACGATTGGGGTTCTAGAGCTCCGTCGCAAGAGAGCTTTGGGATCAGACGTACAACTGGAGGAATGTGATGGTCTGGGAAGTTACGTCTTTGCGAAGTCAAATCACGTACCAATATCCCTCAATTCTGCGATATCAGGTATCAACGAGATAGTAGAGCCCAAGATGTGGCTCTCTATTCTTACTAACTGCCACCTTTTCTCAAGACCAGAAGAACTAAATCATGAAGTCATGTTGTGCCGACATGACTAGAGCCGGCTTCTTGTCTCGCATACTATTGGCGGAGCAAAGCTTCGCATGTGTTACTGTGAATCACGCATCCCAGCGAGCCAATCACGAGCACGATGCTGCAACTCCGCGGGCACTGCCCTGAGTGGCGCAATCTTGGGTGCCGCTGGCTGTGTCTGGCTATCTCCGTTGGGTTCGAAGAACCTTCACGTCGATTACTAATGCCACTGGTGCACAGCTTCGCAGCCCTTTTCCTTTCACTCAGGTGAGAATCTGCCCGAAAACGGTAGAATAGCTCATTCGAGCGGCTCATGGGTGCTCGCTCAGGGCATCTGACGAGCAAGAAATTTCTTTGAGGCACCCTTCCGTGTGGTTCAAAGGTCAGACTCAGCATATTCAAACTATCTTCAGCATGGCGTGGGCTTGTTGGCTTTGCATTTAGAGTCCTGACTTGACCCTGGACCCTGCTGGCTGCGTACGTTCCATGCTGCAGGCCGGAAATGCTGCAGACGGGAACTGGTCCAGGCAGGTCGTGCTGCAAATTTGCATTTGACGTACTGCACAACGCACAAGGGTCTCTTATGGGACCATGGGTATAAATCCCACAAACTGGGTCTGTCACTGAGTCCAACGAGAAAAGGGGAGCCTTGTCCAATAGTATATCAGTCACATCGCGAAGAACAACAAAATTTCAAGACAAGCGGTTAGAATTGATCTTTAGCCTGCTCGGTACGGGATCCTGGTACTCCTTAGCATTGAGCTAGCTGATGGTCTAGACAAAGCAGAAACAGCTACACGAGCCCCCCATCTAGTAAATGCGCGTATAAAGAAAGAGAAATGATGATGTCGTAAGGTCTTGGGCCGTCGGATGCTATGAGAGATAGCAAGTACTTGGGTTGGCCCACTAAGTCTCGTGAATGGCATCAACTCATTTGGGACGACAATATGGAATCACCATCGAGCGCTGCATTCGGAGTGCCGCGTCTCGCTTTTTATGTTGTAACCAGCTGATTGAGACCGTGCGTTCTATGCAGATCTATTATGCAGCTGGCCCAGACCGGACACTCCCTTCACCTGCAAAAACTCCCACGGGCTGGACGGCTATGCGACCGCCGTATGTATGGGAATAAATTGGGCTCGGGACCTCTTCTCCTGCTCTTCGGTTGACAATACGCTAGGCTCTGTGAAGCCCGATCGAGCAGCTGTATAGCTGCACTTCAGCCGGACAAACGCGTCGGAGACTCTTCTGTCTTTTTTATCACTCCTTTCTTTTGTGGTGGGGATTAAGATGGTACGTGAAGAGGCGATGTTCTCCATTGGCTTGACTAATTGGGTCATGTGCGTTGGCGCGAAATGGATCACTGCGAGTGGCCTGCCCACTTTCCTGCAAAGAGCCTAAATGAGTCGGTCTTGAACTCCTTCGGGTTCTTTAAGCCGCTTTTGTCATGTTTGCTTCATGACACGTGTATTGTTCCCGCAAACGCAACAGTATGCATCAAGTATGCTTTCATCGGACGCTCCACGAGTCTGGTATACGTACATGCAATCCTGTCGTCCAAGATAGACCGCATTGCCGAACCGTGCTCAATGGACATGTCAAGATAGGACTCCGTACGGGGTACAGAGGCCCCTTGGAACCGCTTCGCGCTTATATGCTCGGAACACTTGATTGGGGGACTCTTCAGATGATGCGTCTTCCTATTATCCACGGTAGCAAATGGTTACACGACTTGTAACATTTTTACTTTCGGAGAACGATGAACCCAACACATTCAAGCTGCTTGCTTTTTCTGGACTACAAGAGGTGTCTTAGAAAGCCGAAGGCCCCCTAGGAACTCTTGCCGGACCCTGACAGCCCTACGGCTGCCAACCCTAGGTACTCTATACCCCAATGATAACCTCCAACACAAACCAGCTCTAAGTGCAATATCCGAACGGTTAGAAGTTTTGCATTAGGGGCACATGAGAGCTTGATCGACAAAATTGAAGTGGTCATTCAAAACGCGTCAACAGACGATAAGATCTGAATACTCGAAGAGTTAGTAAAGATCAGGGTCCAATGACATAAAAAGGCTTGGTGATTCTGACGAATCATTTACCTGTAAGAGGCAATTTGCTGGCCCTGGCAGTAGGGCTGAATATCGATTTGAGTCTACATTTGCAGCAATCCTCAATCCACCACAAATAGTCCAAATGGGACCCAACTCGAGAAATAGGCCATTGAGATGGCAAAGCTTGATTTCGTGAAGTCTTCGTATCTAGAGGTAGTGTTGTGGTGGTATGGTTGTTTGCAGTGCGCCAAGACCGGCAAAGGGTTCACTTCGGGGCCAGCCCAACGTCCCTGTCAGGCCCTGAGGTACCTCATAGAAGTCCTTGGATCTCAATCTATGCGCTCCCAGAAGAGATTTTAGGGTCCCCCACTGCAGGGGTCGCCTTGCGAAAGTAAAGGCTAGGGCTGCTACTAGCGCTGTCCAGGACCTCGTACGCCGACCTCCCGTACCTCCGTACTCCTCAATAGGGTGCGGTCCCCCAATATCAGCCGTAGCCCCGAAGCAGATCTAAGCGCATTATCCACTTCAGGCAACCTTTCAGATGAAGTTGTTGGTGGTGTAGGAGATTTGGCGCCTAGAACTCGCGTGCTGACCTCCGTATTCGAATGAATTAGCCCAACCGAGATGCCCACCGGGGTCCAAAGTGAGCGTAAATGTAACGTGATCCACGAATTGCTCTTATCGTGCGTTCGTGGGATGCAAATTGGAATAATTAACTATGATATCAGGCGTTTGCGGGATGCAAATTCGAGTACTCTATGTGACTTTGCATGCTTGAACACCGTCAACGACATCTTCCAAGTGAATAACCCGAGGCATGAAGGAGGACCAGAGTATAGAGACCTTAGAAACAAGCAGCTTCCCCTGGAACACATGGACGGGAAAATGATACTGCCTTTGGCTGGTACGACGAAGAGCGAGAAGACAGTGGTGCTTGTTCAGGTGAACGTCACAAAAGGCGGCATTACCATGGCGCTGTGTCTGCATCACAGCTTCAGATGACAGAACGCAAGACCCACTTAGACATCACTCCTTGTTCAAAATTTCCACCATCTTTTGCGCTATCTGTGCCCACATGCCTCGCTCGCTAGAATTGGGCACTTCATGCCCGCCTTTCCATGAGTATACTGTCAAGTTTCTTTCGTCCACAAGCCCCTCGGTCAAGGCAACGAAATGTGCCCACGGATCGCTCTCTCCACGTACGAAAAGTGTGGGGATCCGAACCAATGGTATTCCAGAAAGCGAGACATCTAGCCTCCTGCGCCCGCTCGCGTCGAATGGTGGAAATGGAGAAAGAAGCACGAGGCACTGGACACTAAGTGGGCGGTGGAGGAGGGTGGAGAGAGCTGCGGCCCCGCCTTCAGAATGCGCGAATATGACGTCCGGTTTGTTGGTGCTGACCGAAGAGGCTATAAGCTCTGCTGCGGCAAGGACAGAAGATGGGGAGTCGCCATCCCAGTGTCTATAGAATGGAGGTGAGAAGAACTCGCCGACTCCTATTGCATGGCATTAACAGAAGTACTACGAAAAGCAGTCATAAGTGTGAGGAATGGAGAGCGATCGTGGGCCTTTACCTGGATATGGTGTTGACTCTACACGGCCCTGTAGGTAGGTAAAGTCCAGTCTAGCATCATCACCCACAACCCGGCGGAGCTCTTGCTTTAGCGGAGCTATTGGAGAAGGACTCTGGTCAGCAACCATGCTTTGGTCAACATCCCTCAGCGGCATAGGACCTCCGACTGCTCGAATGTTGCGCGCATACCAGCTTGTGACTTTGTTACCTAGACAGGATTACGTACGATAATCAATCAACGGATTCTTACCGCAGATAAACGAGGTATGCTTACATTGGAATTGGACCCATAGCCGTGCAGACAAAGTACTCGCATATTTCGATCTTTCGATTAAGTCTCAGAAGACTCGCAGCAAGGTCTATGAATTCCAGTGGTTTTAGCATTGGTAGCAGGATTTTTTTCTTTTCTTTTCTCTTCTTTTTTTGGAAGCTCAGTGGAATCGTGGGGAACAAAATAGAGAGCCAAAAAAAGCGCCCGTAAGATTTCCGGATTCATATCGACCACTATGGCGAGGGCTTCATGGGATACTCAATGTAATCGTGCCACGCTCTTAGCTCGTTCGTCGCTAGTGACCGAGCTATATTTGGGTGGATGGCATGTTGCCAACGAGCTTCGGAGTAATCCAAACGCGGCGCGAGTCCCGCAGACCCCCTGCATTGGAGCCGGCTGGCCAGATGACCTCAACGCTTTCCGGAGATTCGAAGGTACAAGAAAGAGGTTTAGCAACGATATTAAAATTAAATTAAATCCAGGTTTGGCGTTCATCCTGGTCAATAATCGAATCGAAGACAAGTAAGCACAAGCTACTATTTCCCGAATGTCTTCAGAAGTTACGGCCGGTTATTCGCATCAGATCATTCAAGAAAAATCGAACCCGACAATGCGAACGCTTTAAGCCTTTGATTGCTCGCAGAACCCTATGTGCCGCATCGCGAAGTCCTCTGACTAATCTATCTCCTTAGTGATTTCGCAGAGTTGCATGAGGAATACCAAAACGGAAAAATATTGAAAATCACCACAAGGCTACGCATACCCATCCCCAATCAAAGGGCCGTCTTACGGCCAAGCAATGAGCGTTACAAGCTGTCCGATGAATGGCTCAAGGCGACACGAATGAAATTTTCATGCTCTCACCATCATGCTTGATGCCCGAGCGTTAAGTGCTCCCATCTCGCACGCAGCAGTCGCTAACTCCAATATGCATTGTAAGAAAGTGTAAATGTCTAGATTCGATACAACTTTGAGGGTATCTGCCAAACCTGGTAGCATGGAATCATCGTGGTATTCAGAGCGCGCAATGCGCCAAAATCACATGTGCTCAACGTCCGTGTGGGTCACATGGGCGTGTGGCACCGGTCATGTGATGATAAGCTGGCCTGAAAACGAAAGGTGTACAGCGCATGCGATAGGTTTACTCGCGCTCTTGGGCTCCTGGAAAGCAGAATTGCTGGCATAACATGCACTGATCTGCAGCAAAACGCTCCGAGCCGTCCACTTGCGCCTCGATTCCATTAGCTGCCTTATCTCACGTCGTCAAGGTTGAGAGGGTACATGTTTATGGTGCAACGACCGTTCCCAAGGTAAGTAGAATTTTCTAGCCGGAAAAGTTTCCTAGCGCGCGGGACCTTTCCCGCTGCTCGGAGGGTTTTAACTTTCAAGCTACTGCTGTGTCATACCCTAAAAAGTAGCCTGTACTTTTTTTAACTTGACCACCCTTTGCCCTTAGGAAACAAAACAAAGCAGAACCGAACTCACTGAGACTTGAAGACTCTGATATTTCATAACTTCGTGATTGCAAGCTCATTATCTCATTTGCCACACTGCTTTTGCTGCAATAATATTGTTTGGGATCAATGAAACTATACTCAGCACCTGGACATGTACGAAATCTCCTCTCCAATCCCAAGAGATTCCATTCCCTCCTTCCTTCCCCCCAATCCTCATGCTCCAGTCGCCTTTCTTATGCATTCACCTTCTATCTTTCTCATCGCTTATATCCTCCCACCCTCTATCAAAATCCAATCACGCTATACCCCCCAATCACGTTCCTGCTAGTCCAAGAATCTCGGCCGTTCTCGTGCATATGCATGGCCACCCATCGCACACCATCTTCCAAACAGGTTCTCTCCAGGAGTGGATCATCAGAGGCGTCATACTAAAACAATTGATTGCAACAGCGACTCAACATCGTGCTCGCTGGGTCTAAAGTATCCTGTGCATATGGATCTTCCAATTCCAGTCTTCAACTTAGCCAACTAAGACTTATCTTGCCCCTAAATAGCGCTCCCCGACCGCATTTGGTCACATTCGGTCAGGAACCCACGCTGGCATGCATCGAGGATAGGATTACAGACGTGGGTCGTCCGCCGACTTCTCTCATCCACTCATTTGTGTTCAAGTTGAGTCGAGTCGGAGAATTCTCTACGATGGAGAGTGGACAGGTGCTTCAGAGGACATTCTTGGGCTTTATGATAAGCCTATCTTGGGATGTTTACTCTGCTGAGGTCTAATGCTTTAAGACACGCTTCCACTTCAACACTAGCAGACAAGACAGCCGTCAGAAATTTCCATCGCTCCAATGGATGTGATACTGCGCAACGGCTTTTCAGAAAATCAATTGAAAGGCGTGGATCGTGATGCCATCTTGATGGCTTATGGGCAAGACCCCACAAAAGCGTCCATGCCGAAGTCCAAGATTGATGGAGCAAAGCCGCCAGTTGTGCTTTTCCAAGAATCATCTGCTGTTGCGGAGCCTAGAGATAATTTCCAGAACATCGATACCAACGGGGATCTCAGGGAAGAGCTCAGACCTGCCTCTACCAACGTCAACGGGCGCCAAGGCTAACAGCATCGTAGAGCAAAAGTCGCATCGCCAATTTCAGCTCCGGAAGATGGAGTAGTTCCGATTGCCATTGTTGGAATGAGCTGTCGTTTTCCTGGTGGTGCTAGCGACGTTGAAAAGTTCTGGGAATTGGTTTCCGAGGGTCGCTCAGCTTGGTCGGAAGTTCCAAGAAGCAGGTTCAATGTTGATGCATTCTATCATCCGAACTCCGACCGTACTGATTCTGTAAGTCTTCGAGCGCTATATGGCTTGACATGGGGGACAAACCGCTGGCTAATAATTTAGACGAATACCAAAGCCGGCCATTTTTTACAAGGAACAGAGTACAGTCAGTTTGATGCTTCTTTCTTCAACATAAGCCCAAATGAAGCCAAAGTAAGACTCGGCTCTGCTGTGGAACTCGAATGGCCGCTAACAAACGCAGGCAATGGATCCAAGAGCCCGGATGCACCTGGAAGGAGCCTATGAAGCTCTCGAGAACGGTAATCTTTCCCAAGTATGCAATGAAATGACAGGCCAATGACGGCAAAATAGCTGGTATCCCACTCTCTGAAGTTACGGGCTCTGACACTGCAGTGTTTATCGGAGCCTTCGGTGCAGACTACGGTGATTTAATGGCCCGAGATCCCGGGATCGTCCCAGCCTACAAGCTGACTGGCCTGGGGGTCTCGCTTTTTTCCAATCGCATTTCGCACTGGTTCGACCTAAGAGGACCATCGGCAACAGTGGACACAGCCTGTAGCGCCTCTACGACTGCGCTTCATATGGCCTGCGAATGTCTCCGAAAGGGTGACTCCAAGATGGCGATAGTGTCTGGAGCGAATCTCATGCTCGATCCAGATATCATGCTGGCCCTCAGCACTTTAAAGTAAGCACTCTTGGTAAAGGGTCACCACGCTTCCAGTTCTAACATTTTTAGGTTCCTGAGCCCCGATGGAAGAACCTACATGTTTGATCAAAGGGCGAACGGATACTCAAGAGGTGAAGGAATAGGCACATTGGTCATCAAGCCTCTATCAGAGGCACTCCAGGCAAACGATCCAGTCCATGCTGTCATTAGAAATACTCGGACGAACCAGGATGGCCGAACCCCTGGCATCACAATGCCCAGCCAAGAGGCGCAACGATCGCTCATACAGACAACTTACCAAGAGGCTAGACTCAATCCATCTGAGACCGATTTCTTTGAGGCTCATGGAACTGGTACGCAAGCCGGAGACCGGGCGGAAGCCGAGGCACTATCATCTGCACTTGGCACAGCATCTCGACCCTCGGAGAAACCCCTTCATGTCGGGTCCATCAAAACACTTCTTGGCCACACGGAGGGTTGTTCTGGTGTCGCCGGTGTCATGCATGCGGTGATGGCTTTGAGGAATAAAGCCATCCTGCCAAACTGCAACTTTGAAACTCCCAGTGATCAGATAAATTTCGATGCATGGAAAATCAAGGTTGGTGAGCTGTGCAAAGAAGCATGGGTGATGCTGACCTGTCTAGGTTCCCACAAAGCTTGAAAGCTGGCCTACAAACCATCCACGTCGGGCCTCGGTCAATAGCTTTGGCTATGGTGGCTCTAACGTTCATGTCATTCTAGAAGAAGCTCCAGAACAAGTTAGTAACAGAATGGACACCAACGGCACCATGGTGAAACCCGATGCCGACTTGGTGCACGGGCGGAAGATCTTGTATCTTAGTGCTAATGACTCAGGCGGGATTGAAAGGCAAGCCAGGCTACTTGCAGCATATCTCCAGGGTCGTGCTGGCTTAGGAATTATGAATGATCTGGTGTACACGCTTTGCCAACGGCGATCCATACACAAGCACAGATATGCACTTCAAAGTGATTCCCTTCAGGGATTTCAATCGATCCTCAAGAAAGTGAAGTACAATCCTCCAAAACTTGGCGGATTCCGGAAATTGGCTTTCGTATTTACTGGCCAGGGAGCTCAGTGGCCGAAAATGGGTTGCGAGCTGTTGGCTGCATACCCTGTCTTCAAAAATGCGTTCCAAGCCGCAGATAAACACATGAGCAGTCTCGGCGCTACGTGGTCTCTATTAGGTATATCCAGAGTCTTGTAAATCCATTGACCTGCTTTGACCAAATTTACAGATGAAATTCACCGAGAGGCTGCTGAGTCAAAGGTTGACGAGGCCTTTATCAGCCAGCCCCTATGCACAGCTTTTCAAATTGCCCTGATCAACCTGCTCCAATCTTGGGCCATCAGACCTAGCATAGTCGTGGGTCACTCCAGTGGCGAGATTGCTGCTGCTTACACCGCAGGAATGCTGTCGCTCGAATCTGCTATTAGTGTTGCATACTATCGCGGCAAACTAAGCTCGCAACTTATTCCCGAAGATGGGACTCCTAAGGGCGGAATGCTTGCGGCTGGACTTTCTGCTGAAGACGCAAAATCCTACATTGAAGGCGTTGACTCGGGTAAAGTCACGATTGCTTGTATCAACAGTCCAAAAAGCGTCACGCTCTCAGGGGATGTGGCGGCTATTGACGAACTTCACTCCAGGTTCGAAGAGAAGAGACTGTTTAGTCGCAAGTTGAAGGTTAATGTGGCTTATCATTCGGTCCACATGAAGGCTATCGCAGAAGAATACTCCAGATCTCTGCGTGGCCTGAAAATCCAACCTCGACATCACGGAGTGAATTTCTACTCCAGTGTCTTCCCGGGTATTTCTGTGGAGACCAACACAGAATATTGGGTCCAAAATCTTCTTTCTACCGTTCGGTTCAGCGAGGCGATGAAGATTGTACTCGAGTCGCAGACTGAGCACGATCTCGCGTGCATCGAAATTGGACCCCACTCCGCCCTAGCCGGCCCTCTCAAGCAGATCAGTCAGTCGTTGTCCGCAGAAGCAAAGACAGAATACTTCCCCTCCATCCTGAGGAACGAAAACGGTGTCGAACAAGCCTTGAACCTTGCTTGCAATCTATTTAACAATGGCTGGCAGATCGACCTCGCCTACATCAATTTTCCATTTGGCATGGCAGGACTCCGAGTGCTGACAGATCTCCCATCTTACGCCTGGAACCACAGCACCCAGCATTGGCATGAGGGAAGACTGTCCCAAAATTACCGTCACCGCACGAATCCGCCTCACGATCTCCTCGGTACGCTCCTGGATGACTCCAGCGATCTTGATATGCGATGGACTAAGCACATACGTCATTCGGATCTTCCATGGCTCAAAGATCACGTCATTGGGTCTGAGATTCTCCTTCCAGCCGCTGCCTATCTCGCGATGGCCATGGAAGCAGTTGGTCAAAAAGCGTCGATCAGCGGTCTGCAGGTCCAAGGGTATACGCTGCGCGACGTGACCTTCTCCAAAGCTTTGGTAGTCCCCGAAGCCTCAGATGGGGTCGAGGTGTCACTCATCCTGGAGCCATTCCGGCAAAGTTCTGCTGCAGCTTCTACAAATTGGGACGAGTTCCGGGTTATCTCTTTTGGGCCTGATAGAAAAGCTTATGAACACTGTCACGGACTCATCGGCATAACCCACAACCCAAGTTTCAACTTCTCTTCTAATGATGAGACTATGCTAGCCATGATGCGCCATGACAAAGACATGAAGCCAGAGCTTTACAAGCAATGGCTATCTCAAGCTGCGTCAAGTGGTAATGAGCTGGGCTCGTCATTCCAATTAGTCTCGGAATGTTGCTTGAAGGGTGAATATGGCTTCTATAATCTACGCGTGCCTGATAGATCTGGCTACGAAAGCCCCCTGACCATCAGCGTTCCCCTTATGGACTCCTTTCTCCAGATCACAATCTTGGCTCATGCCAATACGGCCCGCCCACTGGAAGGCACAATAGTCCCTACTTCGATTACTGAGCTGGCTATTTCATCGTCGATTGGCCGGGAGCCTGGCCATGTGCTCTACTCTCGTGGTTCGACCACGGAATTGGGTCCAAGAAACTTCGAAGGTCAAGTCATCGTAGCCCAGGACCGAGGCGACATCTTGGAGCCTGTGGTCCAAATCATTGGAGTGAAGTACGTGTGTATTGCTAGAGACGAAGAGAGCAAAAGCGACAACACAAAGACAAAGCTTTGTTGGGACGTGTTATGGGAAGAAGACCCTGATGACCTATCGCAAAATGATGTTGCGAAGCGTTGGCCGATTAATGAGCTGGCACCCCACGAAATGCCCCAGATAATCATAAGAGAAAGAGCCGCATGGTATTGCCTTCGCTCAGCGCTTGGATCTCTGACCGATACAGATATCGAGAAAATGGCTCCCCACCATCGAAACTACTACAATTGGATGAAGAAAAAAATGGAGCTGGGACAGAACGGCAACTTACCTTTTCAAAGGAATGATCATCAACAAGAGTGGTCCTCTACTGACGAACATACTGTTGAGAGTACTCTACAACAAGCGGCTGCCTCTGGCGCTCAAGGCTGCATGGTGACTCGTGTGGGACGTAGGCTCTTGGACGTATTAAGAGGAGAGGTAGAACCGCTCTCGTTAATGCTTGAAGATGATCTGCTGAACCGATATTACGCGGAGAGCCCAGACCAAGACCGTGTCTATGAGCAAGCGGCGCGTTTCGTGGGGCTGGTTGCTCACAAAAACCCTAAGTTGAGGGTCCTTGAAATTGGAGCTGGTACTGGGTACGTGACTTCTTGGCTAATCCTTTCCACGTCTATGTTGTTTTGCGAGAGGGGAAACGGTGCTAGTGGGACCAGCTTATATTGATTTGCAAGAACTCGAACCTCTTTTGCACACAGCAACCCTAGAAGCTGATTTAAATGATCTAACAGGAGTGCTACGTCTTTCATTTTGAAGGCGCTCGGTGGATTTGATAACGACTATCCCCAGTTCTCAACCTACGTCTTCACCGATATCTCGACTGGCTTTTTTGAAAAAGCTCAGACTAAATTCAAAGCCTGGGGAAGTCTTATTTCTTATAAGCCACTGAACATTGAAGATGATCTGAAAGCGCAAGGATTTGACGAGAGCGAAGGGTACGATATCATAGTCGCTGCTAATGTTTTGCATGCCACTCACAACATGCGTCACACCATGAGCCAAGTAAATAGACTGCTCAAGACAAACGGAAAGCTTATTCTGGTGGAGGCGTTCGCAGGTCGCCGGATATACGGGGAACTCATCTTCGGACTGCTTCCGGGATGGTGGATGGGTAAGCGGTAGATTATCCTTGCCTCAATAGTGCTGATCTCTTTGAAGGCGTTACCGAAGGGCGAACAGACAGCCCACTTCTCTCGGAAGGGCAATGGGCATCTCTGCTGAAGCGTACTGGGTATTCAGGGCTTGATATCTGTCTCCGAGACAGCTTAGATGAGCAATTGTGGACCATGTCGACCATGATCTCAACCAAAGAGAGCGGTAATTCGGGGGTTGATCCCTTCGAAATTCGTATCATATACGACACACCCCAAGAGCGAGACCTTGTCAATATATTGGCCAAGAACGTCGATAGATTCTCGAGCACCAGACCTCTGATCTCGGCTTTATCGGAGACCGATCCTTTGGAGCAGCTTATCGTCGTTGTTGATCATGCAAGTGGTTCTCTTCTTCTAGAACTTAATGAGAGAAAGCTCGAGATTCTCAAATCAATCTTTGCCCAAGCCAAAGGCGTCCTATGGATTACATTTGGCGGCTCAGGTAATGGCAAAAACGCAGGCGCTGGGGCTGTTTCGGGCATTCTCAGAACACTACGGTCAGAGAATGGTGGCATGAACTATGTTGCGTGCGACGTAGAAGCCGAGGACTTCTCTAAGCCAGAGCTCGCTCAAATCATCTCTAAAGTTTTTGCAAAGGCATTCAGCAAGTCCACCATGGATCTCTCGCCGAAGGACTTCGAATATGCAATATGGAACGGGCGAATAATGATCCCTAGACTTGTGGAGGATAAGCTTGCCAATAAAGCTATGATGACACTGCCCTCAAAACGCGAGCCAGAAGAACAATGCCTATGGCAAGAGCATAGCTGCCTGTGTCTTGATATGGGCCAGGTTGGGCTTCTGGATACATTCCAATTCGTCCACTCCGAAAAATGCTCAGGTGAAATACAACTTGACGAAGTCGAGATTGAGGTCAAGACGGTCGGTCTCAACTTTCACGATCTCCTTATCGCAACGGCTCAGCTGCCCGATCCGAACGGATACGGTGTTGAATGCGCAGGTATCATTACCAAACTTGGGAAGGCAGCGCATCATCTTAAGGTCGGTGACAGAGTCTGCGCAATCGCCCCTTCTAGCTTTGCCAATCGTGTCAGAACACCTCAAACCCTCGTCAGGATCATGCCGGACAATATGACTTTCGAGGTTGGCGCTTCTATTCCGTCTGTGTTCACGACATCCTACTATTGCATTCATCACGCGGCCCGCCTGCGGAAAAATGAGTCTATTTTGATACACTCCGCGGCGGGTGGTATAGGTCAAGCGTGTATCAAAATGGCGCAGCTTGTGGGCGCAGAGATCTTCGTCACTGCAGGGTCGCCAGCCAAGGTGGACTTTCTCGAAAAGGCTTTTGGTCTACCCCCAAGCCATATCTTGAACTCGAGGACTCTCGACTTCAGGCACGACATCATGGCCCTGACGAAAGGCAAAGGGATTGATGTGATAATTAACTCCTTGGCGGGAGACGCCCTTCGCGAAAGCTGGAGGTGCTTGGCTATGTTTGGACGATTCATAGAACTAGGTAAGAGAGACGCCGTGGATAACAGTAGACTCGACATGGCGCCTTTCGAGAGATCGGCCAGCTTCATTTCCGTGGGTTGGGATCATTTTGGCAACCACCGACCAGAATTCGTTGGCAGTGTTTTACAAGAAGTCATGGATCTATTCGTCAACGGCACTCTGACCCCACTGGAACCAATCACTATCTTCCCCATGTCGGAGGTTGAGCCAGCGTTCAGGTTCATGTCTTCGGGAAACCATATGGGCAAGATTGTTGTCACAGCTGACAGAGACTGCCTTGTTAAAGTACGTAAAAAAGCGGATGTTCGTTTTGCTGCTGACAAAGAGACGCAGGTTATCCCTCAACTACCGCCACCTCTCCAGCTTCGTGCTGACGCCTCGTATCTCCTTGTCGGCGGACTTGGCGGCATCGGTGTAGAGATTGCCAAATGGATGGTAAATGAGCTAGGCGCTCAGAGCCTCATTCTGATCTCAAGATCTGGCATGGACGCAGCAGGAGCAGCAGATGCCGTCGAGGCTCTAAGAAAGCCAGACGTCGCTATCACAGTGCGTAAATGCGACGTAGCAGATAGAGAAAGCCTTTCAGCAGTGCTTCATGATTGCGCTCAGACCTTACCGCCAGTTCGAGGCGTGGTCCAAGGTGCTATGGTCCTCAAGGTGGGCCTGACCTATCTCCTTTCCTCCCAACAGAAAAAGCAAGCGCTTAGCTGACATGATGCATTTAGGACGCGATCTTCCCCAATATGACCCTCACCAAATACAACCAAGCCCTCGATCCCAAGATCCGCGGCTCGCAAAATCTGCACGATCTCTTCTCGCAGTCTTCAGACCAACTCGACTTCTTCGTCATGCTCTCCTCCCTATGTGGCCTCCTCGGTAATGCGTCGCAGTCCAACTACGCCGCTGGCAACACATTCCAAGACGCTCTAGCCCACCACCGCGCATCACACGGCCTGCCCGCTCTATCCATTGATGTGGGCAAAGTCGTCGATGCCGGATGGGTCGCGCAGAACCAGGACGTCGTTTCGCGCGGCGTGTTAGCCATGGCCAAGGACATCCGCGTCAAAGACCTCACGGCTCTGATCGAACACCACGTGCGCGCGGGTTCCGGCAGGGCCGCAGCTCAAGTCGCGGTCGGTATCGAGGACTACCCCGCCTTCGACGCACGGTTCTCGCACGTCGGCGCCATCCTCGCGGGGGGCGTTTCGCAGGGGCGCGAATCACAAGCCCAAACGCGATCATTAGAATCGCAGATGGCGGCCGCCGGTCACGACAGCGCACGGCTGCTGTCGGTGATACTCGAGGCGTTCAAGCAGAAGCTGGGGCGGTTGTTGGCGCTGAAGGTGGAGGACGTGCATGAGGAGGATACGATTGCGGGACACGGGGTTGACAGTCTGGTGGCGGTCGAGATTCGGAATTGGTTGCGGAAGGAGGTCGGGGCTAATGTGACTGTCTTTGAGATTTTGAACGGGAAGGTGAGTGTGAGGGGGGTGGTGGAGGGGATTGTGAGGGAGATTGTGAAGGCTTGACCGAAAGGAGGGGAAGGGGGGAAATGCTGGATAATGGAATCTTGTTGAATGTGTCGTATTGCGTTTGCGTGTCTACTTCTTGTAATTCCGCCTGTCTGACCTCTTGACACACTCATTCCTACGCGGCGAGATCAACCGTCCCTCTCCGCCACGGCAATCCAATTTCCAAAACAAATTGATAGCTCTCGACTGCACCCCGTCACTCTCATCCGCGTATTTCCAAACAAGCATTTATCACTCGACACGCCAATCATCCCATGACCAGCAGGATTACACAAAACACCCCACCATCAAACCAAAACCACCCCTCTGCCCACAAACTCCCCAACAGCTCAGAAGCCACATAATGATCGAGACACCGCGCCCGTTCCATCAAAGTCTCTAGATCCGCCACAATCCCACTAGATGCCAAGCCCAGTCTGTCCTATTTCCCATTCCGTTATCACACAACGGCAAAACAGTGTAACTACATCCATCATCCAGCGGACAGGAGACCATACAAGGGCGACCTTTTCCCTTTTAAAACGAGCTCGCTCCTATTCCCGTCTCCAATCTCATCCCTCATCGAACCTGACGTGAATGCTGGGTCCGAAGTACTGTATTCCTGATTCCAGCTGTAGGCCGTATCTATCATCACGGTTTTGAAGCTGCTGAGCGTTTTGATTTTTCTCGTGACCAACCCCGTTATTTTTTCCACGAATTGAATGGCGTTCTATGCTATGTAGAACCAGATCAATAAATGTTGGACTCAAGAGTGCGTTAATGCGTTCAGTCATCAACGCTGAATTTGAAGTCGCTAGGACTAAGATTGCTTCCTGGAGGGATTTGTGCAAGATGGTCAAGGGTCAATTTATGCATTGAGTGCGGGCGCACATCAGTCAGTGAACAGGCATTTGTTGAATAAATAGTGTCTGGGATATAGTATACAGCAGCAAATGAGATCCCCGTCAGCAATCAAAATGTAAATCTTCTCATGTCATCGCGACCCCACTCCAATCTGTCAAAAAGCTTCTCTTCCGCCCAGCATCATTCCAACACGTGAACGACATATCCCTCAGCATCACCCTCAATCAAAGTCCTCATACACCCGATCCCAATCCTCGGGAAATGGGCTCAAGAGGATGGAACTCAAGATGATGACCCTCCACGCTGTCATCGAACGTTGCTGGTCCCAAGCTGCATTCCAAAAACCTCTGCACCTTCTGATAGCCCTTCCTATGGTGCGACACCAGCCTCGACTCATAGGGGAAGACGTCTCGGAATTGCTCTTCGGTAAGAAGCCCCTCGAACTCGCTGGCCTGGTATCTCCCAACCACCAGCTTGAAAACCAAGCTCTTGAAACCAGTGAGGCGTGCGAGCAGGAGGTAGAGTCTATCGCGATCCATGTTATAGGGAGGGGACGCCTCTTTGCCGTAATCGACCGTGACGACGCAGGACTCTCGGGTGGCCCCGTCGCCAGCGAAGCCTGAGATGAGATCGAGGTTGAACGGGAAGGCGCCCGAGTTGGCATCGAGGCGGAACTCCACGCGCTGGACGGAACCTACGGCCGGAGCGAAACGCGCCCGGTTCCCGCCGTGCACCCAGCCTGTGGGGTCGAACGGGGCGAGGTTGAGTCGGAGGACGGCATGCTTTGATAGGAGCTGGGATGCTTCTTCGGTGACCAGCTTGCTGGTTCTGAGGATGGCAAGGTTGCCGGCCGTGATGGCATGGCGGTAGATTGTATCGCGGAGCTCGCGGGGTAGGTGGAGCCAGGGGAAGATATCTCGCTTTGATGGCTGGAATAGGATAGTGTTCTCCACCAATGCCTTCTCGGTGTGCATGATGGGCGTTGGCGAGCTGTTGTTGGTGGAAGACATGTTGTTTTGTATTGTTTACTGTCTTCCCAGTGAAATACTTCTGAGGGTAGATTTGGAACGGTCGAAGGAAAAGCAATCAGTATGGGCTACTTATACACGTACAAGGGGTGGCTGTGTCATGGTAAGCAAGGTGTCAACAGATCTCAATGTGGACTTCACAAGGAGCTCGTCTATGTGTCCACAGTGATTGGTGTGTTGAAAGTTGCATTCAGAAAAGTTCCACACAACTGGCAGCGCTTACCACGTATCATTTTACTCCGTGAAACATATAGAAGGAAGCGTACAATCGCGCGGTGTATGAGAACGGGAAAAGAGAGCGTACCGACCTGTAACCCAGGAAAAGCATCATGTCTGTAAAATTTGTATGTTCATTAGGGTTCTAGTCCGCCTCCAGTGTCCTTGCTCTAAGTCTCGTACTCAAAGATATCTGGCGAGTAACCCGTAATTAGGAGGAGCTGTGAACTACTAGTAGCTAGAATGTCCTCAACAAAAGCCTTAACGCCCAGAGAAACCGTTCCTGCTATTCCATTGTCCCATCTCCCACGCATCATCAATAGCGCTCTTGGATTGCACTATCTGTTGGACCATTCTCCTCGGGCTTGAAGTCGCTTGGATGGAACTTTAAATGATGGCCTTTGAGGCTCTTGTCCTGAATCGCTGGTCCGAGCGTGATCTTCAAGCTCTCACAAAGAGTCTGGTAATCATCCAAAAGCCACTTGTGAGGGTAGCTGTCCCCAGTTTGGGGTAGCAAGTATCCCAGCCGACGCAGGCATTGTTCCTCAAATCTATAGTCCCTCTGACGCCTAATCTTCACAACCAATGTCTTGAACCCGGTGAGGTCTGTGATAGCTTGCCACGCGGTCTCTCGTGCAAAGGTCCCTTCGTCTGGAACACTGTCGTAGACTTCGATATCAAGATAGATGGTGCACGTTTGGCGCGCAACATCTCTGCCACCGAAGGACTTGATGAGGTTTGTGTAGACGTCAAAGTAACGGAGATATCCTTGGACGGCGGCCAAATTAAAACGAAGTTCAACATGCTGGATAGTTGGGGTAGCGTGAATTTTGAGAGCACCTGTGAAGTTGAGGTTCCCTGTCAGCGGGAACGAGGCCGAAGATGTTCGATTGGCGTAGCCAAAGTTCATCCGCAGCACAGCGTTCTTCTTCAACACGTTCTCCGCTTCTTTGTGTACGAGCTTGTTTGTCCTCATAATGTTGAGGTCTCCGGCCGCGATCAAGGCTTCGTAGATCAGCAGACGCAGCTCGGAAGGTAGCCCGAGCAGAGGAAAATTCGACGGACTTGAGACTTCCAATGATGTTCCTCTTATCGTCTCCTGATTCCCAGTACCTTGGCCAGGAACTGTAAAGAGGCTGTGGCCACTGTCGCAGGGGTCAAGGTTGCTGAAGTTGAAGGCACTGGAACCGACATCGCTATCATCGCTGAAGTCGCTGGCTCCGCTGATCTCCATATTGTCGAAGTCGGGGTTGCCTATGTAGGACAAAGCCCTGGTCTGTGACTGACTTTGTGAAGAGCTTTGGGGCTGACTTATCGATGAAGACGGTTGCATTCTGCACTTGGGAATGTTAGAAGCGGACGTCAAAGATGGGCGAAAGCTAAAGGTATAAGAAAGAGGAATTAGGAAGGAATGAGATTCGACGAAAGAGGAGTACTAGTATAGTAGGTAACTTTCACAGGCATTTGTGCTGAGCTCATTAGACACAAAGACGATGTCTTCGTGTCGAGCGGCTCATTGACCAGGCTCATTGGAAACTTCAAAGCGAGGAAAAGAGCCGGCGCAGGAAGGCAGCAGGCGTCTTTGTGCAATTAGTCGTCCCAGTATCAAAACTACACGTCACATGTCCAAATAGAGGCCACATGGGATATAAACAAGTGGTTGGCCATCCTCACGCCGGGAATAACAAGCCTGAATAGGCCCAAATAAACCCTTGAACAGGCACATTTCTCGTACCCCATCGCAAGAAGATTCCCGTGCCTATGGCATAGAACTGGGGTAAAGCGGTAGCTAGCTATGTACAGGCACGGGTGGGTGAGATACGAAGCATGCAATGGCTCTGAAAGACACCAGATCGAGCCATTAACAGATGCAAGACATGTGGCTATATGGACACCTGTCTCCTACTTCTTGCAGGGATCCTGGCAAGGGCCTGAGTGCTGTGACCCAGTAGCCCCCAGTCCGACTGTGGCAAATTGCGCAAGAATCTTTGTTGTTGGGAGAAGTCATGAGCGATTAATTTTTCTCGCCAGCGAGGTTTTCAATGGCCCGTACTGTGTTCACCATCTATCTGTCAACGCAGGGTACCACGGCCGGCATCGATTGGCAGTGGTGGTGGTGGGTATCTCCGTGCCAAGTAGATCGACTTTTCGGCCACTCCAGTACTCGCGTGGATGGAATTCGACAGAGAAATTTGCACCGTTGGCGCTGAGCTTGGTAGGGCCCAGTGCATGCCCCATACAATCTTCCAAGACTTTCGCATCCGTCGTATCAATGTGCAATCGGCGTTCGAGACTAGAAGTCCAGTATTCATCCCGGAGACTTCGCACTACCTTGATTACCAAAGTGTCAAAGTGTTTATAACCGCACAATGCATACGAGAGCATGAGTAGTAGTTGGGAACCCCTAGGTCGTATTTCCCTCAGTTTAGTCGCCTGATAGATATGGTCGAGCGATTCGCCTCCATTATACTCGATGACGACGTTGCAGCGGTGCATGGTGCCATCGTCGCGATAGCCAAGATGCCGAATCGAGGAGGTCTGAAACTTTTCCTCACCAATGGCGTACCCGGCAGGAGGGAGTTCGAAGCGAACGTCGACGTTCTGTATGCCTGCTGGTATGGTGGCTCTTCCTAGAACGGTGTCCTCGTGACCTTTGATGCTGAAGTAGACTCGAAACGTCGCTTCGTGGGTGATGCGTTGCAAAGCTTCTTCGGTGATGGCGGGACAAACACGCAGTATGCTAAGGTCTCCAGATTGAAGAAGTGGTGCGATGATCAGGTCTCGTAGCTCACGGGGAATGGTGAGTAAGTTGGGTCGCTGGTGGCTCTCCGACTGGTAGGCGGGAAGACTTGTCTGCAGGGTTGCCGATGCCATGGCCGGCAAGATATCCTCCAAATTTCGTTGCAGGCTGCTCGAGGTTTAATCAAGGGATTTTGGGAGTTTGGTTGAGTGTGTAGAGGTGAGAGATGTGGGTAAGAGCGATGAGCTGGATGTGTAACAAAGAGAGCGCAGTCTAGTGTCATTTTGCCTTGGCAAAATGTGTTATGTTTCATACTCCGTGCTGACCGTCTCATCGCCGGACGGAGAAACAGGCGCTAAGTTGACTAATTATCAATCGCAAGAGCCATGACCGAAGTTGTAACGCTAGGACCTCAGCATTCCTGCAACGACACCACGAAAATCTGAATCATGAAGATGTAAAAACGTCCCAGGGGCTCCCCTTTCGGGCCTTACAGAGAATCCCAGTTCGGGACCTGGCACCGCCAGTGTTGAACTTCTCATCAAAATCCTTAAGGCCACACTTGAGCTGGCCATCGTCTAGCTCTCTCTGCATATCACTAGCTCTCTCCACGACAAACTTATGGGAGCAATCAGCTACCTTGCTTGAATCGGATAAGAACAGGACATCATGAGTATGTTTGAAAGAAGCTCTCATTGCATCCATTCATACCCGATAATTGGAACCGCTGATTTCATGTTAGTGGCTGTGTTATCCAAATATCCTCGATAAAGTTCAGGTACTAATCCAACTGGCGCTTGTTCCTCCTTCTCTGACCGTTCTTCCTTTCCTGAGCAATTCCTTGCAGTCTCGATTGGTAAATTAAATTTGATGGCTTTTACTCGTATGGGAACACGCTATACTTTGTATGGGCCACCCTAACGCTAAGGTCGCCCTAATATGGATTTTTTCAATTATTTTATTTACCCACCTATATATGTATATACTATAAACTATTATTATCTATTTTAGTCTCTCTAATTCTTCTAATCTTAATTAACTATCTAGCCCTCGTTATAGTAACCTTAAATCACTTAATCTTCTTATTTCTAAGTACATTATATACTCGAGACTCTTTAATATTTATCTACTTTAAAGCCTTTAAAGTCTTTATAATCTTTATTTTCTTATATATAGTAATTTTATTTCGGGCTTAATAAGAGTAAATAATATCTCTCTTCTATATTATAATATTAAATTCTATTTTTCGAGCTACTTAGACTATTATAGCCTATTAAATAATATCTAATTCTCGCTTAGCGAGAAGACCTGAAAGTATCTTCGCTTTTATTCTACGAATATATCTATTAAGCAATTAATTCTATAGATATATATCTCGTAGTTCCTTTTTATATTATATAATTTAATAATAAGTATATAATATCGACTAATTCTCAAGATCGAATATCTCTTATTCTAAAGTCTTATTTCTTATTAGAGAGTCTCTTCGCTGAAATCTAGTTAAATAATTCAAAATAATAGTGGGATTATAGGGAATTAAGTTTATTTCTCGCTATATAGATATAATAATAAACTTAATAAAAGTTAGATTATAAATTACTTAAAAATTAACTAAGAAATTAATCTTTAAATAATTATCGCTAGCTTAATATATTATAATATCAATTATCTTAGTATATTAATATTTAAATAATTAAAAGATATCTATATTTAATAATTAATATAGATATATAGAGTATAGAAGTAAATAGAATAAAATAATATTATTATTCTCTATATATTTAAGTATCTCTCTCGTAAGATAATTATTATAATTATTAAATAGTAGTAGTCTTTATATCCTCACACGCTTTCTCTTTATAAAATAATCGAAATACTTAATTTAGATCTTATATAAATTATCGTTTATATATTTAATATTACTAATAATCTATAAAGTATCGAGATTAAGACTCTCTTAAAACTAATTATTAAGATATTATTTTTTAGTTAAAATTAGTATCGAGGAAAGCGTATAATCTAAATTATCGATACTCTTAATTAAGATAATATATTCTTTATTATTCACATTTACTTAATATAGTAAAAGTTCTCTTTCTTCTATAATAATCTATTAACTCTTATTTACTTTAATTTAAAACTCAATCTCATTAAAGTTATAGATATTCTTTACTTATACTTTAAACTCTTAATAAATACTTTAAAAACGCTTAAACTAGTTTTAGATAATCTCTAACTTATATATATTCTTTTATTAAGATATTAGAGACTTTTATTTATATATCTTATATTAGAAATTACGCTTTAAGAATTATATAAATTAATAGTTATTTATATATTTAGATAGACTAAGGCGCTCGCGAAGAATAGATACTAGTAAGGATAGAATTTATAATTCTTTTAAATATCGAATGATGATAAGATATTCTTAATCTATTAAGCCGTTATATATATTAATAAAGAGTCTATTTTTTATAGTCTATAAGTATATAAGAGTAACTGTCTTTAAGAGGAATTTTATTATAACGATTTAGGAGTTGATCGTAGGATACGTTAAATTTAGTAGCTAATCGAAGGATTTTAGACTTTATTCCGAGAGTAATAGTAGCTAAAGCCTTCTAAATATATTTCTAAATAACGATATATGAGTTAGATATAATTATGATTGTGGTAGATAGGTGGGGGAAGGATGGATTGAATTATTGAAAAATTTCGTGTTGGGGTGGCCTTAGCGTTGGGGTGGCCCATATAAAGTGTAGCGTGTTCCCATACGATTACTATCTCTTTGTGTCACATTCAATCTGTATATCCTTGATGACAAACATTTCGCGCTCAACTAGATAGAAAGTTCGCAACAGTGGGACTGTGGGTTAGTGGGTCCATTATGAGGCCATAGCGGTGGTGGCTGTTTGATCAGCCGTTCCATCATTATGCGATATGTATGCGATATGCGATATGCGATAGTAGGGAGACAGGTGGACATGGCGAGTACTATTTGTATGGCCACTGCACCAGTAGTGGGCTCTTCATTCGAATTGTTCTCTTTCAGAGCCATATCATTGTTCTCCCTCCCACCCACACCTGTATATAGCTTCGTTTTCACTCCAGGTCATGTCGCTCAGACATGGGAGTTTTTCTAGCGCTGGGGGGCCTTTTTCGGGGCTATTTACATGTTCAAATGTCCAAAAAGGTCTCAGCTGCCCCAGTGTTGGATATGCCCAATCATATATCTACAGATCTACTTGTGCATGCGTGATTTCTGTATGGCCTCACTGTTTGCGAACACTAAGTATGCTTGTTGACAATGAATATCATTGTCGTCATCACCATCCAAGCGCTTTGGACGATGCATGGTCTTTGCACAAACAGGTGGCTCTTTTGAACTACCTTCTTTTGTATTACCTAGATCATGACCAATGATTATCGTCACCTATGCTATTTTCTCAACTTCTTGTCTCCTCTCTGCCCTCTTACATCTACCTCTTCTCTTCAACGGCTTACATCGATCATCGAAAAAGATAATCGAAGCACTGGGCAAGAACTGGACAACAACACCCCGATATGCTTCCCCAGTACATAGCGTGTTTGGCAACGGGATTGCTCCAGATCTAACAATGATCGTCCCTCAGCAAAAAAACCCAGAATCCGCTGAATTTTACTGCAGAAAACATTTCCCCTCCTTGAAATGCTCGTTGAACTCCGTTTGATGATCTACGAACATCTCATCGAAGCTGGAGATCTCGACATCTTGAGAATTTCTAAGCTCGTCAATCAGGAGGCATTTCCGCTTCTCTCCGAAGTCGCGATCCTTCGAATCAACGAACCATGTCCCACTATGCTAAGTCGAGTGACCCTCGCTCTCACGGGTAGTGTCACGTTGTGTGGCCTTTTCACCCTGACCCCTCCAGACTACATCCAACACCTCGACCTGCGCCTCAACATGGTCCATTCTCAAGGGTTTTTCATAAACATGAAGCTCATGAATTGGTCAGTGGCGACAGAATTACCCGAAAGTCGTGCCAAATCGTCATCAAACTTCCCGTTTCCGGGGATCTCCCACTCCGATTGAATGAGAACAGAATCTACCAGGTGATGGAAGATTTGATCGGATTCAAGATCTTGACGCTGAAGCTCGAGCACCAGGACCACGATCCTCACCTACTGACGGGGCTTAGACGTGAATCGGTGAAGTATGAGAACGGTCTACCGCATAGCATCTCTCTGGGGCATTATGAGAGGATATCCGAGTTTTTCGCAGTGACGCTTGGACCCGCTGAGTCCAACAAGAGTGTCGATGAGCATCGTCTTCGACTCTGGCCGAATGTGTACGACGCTTGAGGACGGTCTTGAGCTTGAGCCGGCTGAGCGATAAGAGATTTGATTGTCCACAACCGATGAGGCGGATTGGACCATAAATGAAGGTCGAGTCCGATTTCAAAATGCTGATATGGATCCAGGTAGATTCTCTGGTTCACTGTGATTGCTCAGCGATATACTTACTAGCATAGTAATCGATTGGCTTTTCACACGTTTCCATGTCCTCAACGCACCCACACTTTGCAGAAATCAGGTACTGAGATACGATGAGAACATTACGATGCGTGAGACTAAAGATTCTGCCATTGTTGGAGGCTATCTGGCCATCGAACGAATCTGACTACTACCGTGTCTAGCAAGGCACTCGGTAAGACGAGGGTTTCGTCCGGTGCTTTCACTAGCGGCTGCAACAGTATACTTAGGCAACTCCCTTGACGTTTGACGGGAACTCCATCGCCGCCACTGGCGCTGCTGAATTATTGCGAAAATGACGCCTTGGTATCAAGCAACTATGGGCTCGATGCAGTGAATGAACTTGGTTTGCTAAGGCACTCTGACTGACAAGAACCCTAGGTCTGAGTTCGGGTGTGCATCCAAGGCAACTTCTTACAATTCATGGCACCCAACTCTCTTCCTCCTTCCACTCTTCCCACATGCATCTCTTTTCACCCGAGATACCCTCACCTTGCCCTGACCCGAATAGTGTGGATGGAAGACCATCTGAACACCCTCATCCTGCTCGCAGTGCCCAAGACCGGCTCTAAACACTCACGGGCGTCGTCGAAGCTCTCATGTCTAGCTGTATCCATCAAACGCATCTGCCATTCGAACAGGCGATCTGGGAAAGGGCTTCCGCCGAACCAGTCGGTTTCGATACTCAACGTCACGTCCTCAAATTCCCCAAACGTTTCCGAGAAGTTAAGCACGTCGAGCGGAATCATAGACTCAGTGGAATAGCGAGTCTCCAAAGATACGCTGCAAGACTTGCGACAGAGGTATCGGTTGCCGAACATCTCCAAATTTCTCTTCTACGGGAATGTGCCGAGACCAAAGAATGGATAATCCCTCATATTCACACGAAGGTGCAGGTTCTGGACCGTATCCACCACTGGCTGGGAGAGCTTGGGGCAGTTGGCTTTGCTGTTAAACGCAATGTTGGTGCGATAAATGCCATGCTTGGATATCAGGCTCGCTCCTTCCTTGCTCAAGATCTTGGAGGCTCTCAGAAACTCCGTGTGGCCGGAAGCAAGCAGTCGCCCAAAGGTTATATCGCGTATCTCCCGGGGCAATTTGAGAAACATTGGGCCGAGCCCGGCAGCGAAGTCGATGGTATCCGGCTCCGGCAAGTAGGTTTCTGTTATCATTTGCTGTCCTAGGTAATGGAGAAAGTCCTCACGACTGACCACTACCAAATCTCCAATCTTGTGTGAGTCTTTGAACTTCGCAATAATGTTGGTGATTAAAAGGTTTAGCTCTCTCTTGAAGGAATCAATCGTCTTAGATCCGGGAAACTTGATGGGGTTCATGCTGGCGGTGGGTTAAACCTGTGAAAGTAGGATTTAGTTCGAGTGATTTGAAATTGACTGACTCGAGGGTTTCCGCTACGTTTGTGCTGTATGGGACGTAGGTAGCGGAGGTAGGTGGAAGGAAGAAAGATCGAGCTGGTTGATCTGATTTTATAGGTAGTCCCTTGGTGCTAGTCCACACAACGCCATAACTGAGCACTTATCGCTGGCTAGTCGACTGTCTGATAGAGGGTTGTATCTCCTAAATCCAATCAACGAAAAAGCTCTGCACTATCGAAACATGCTCAAAAACAGTACAACGACTAGAAAGCGGACTGCAGATGCGAAGTAAATTGAGTCGATTCTAGATTCCAATCAGTTCTGTGGCTCACGACTGACAGTTAATCTCCGGCGCTCAATGAATCAATGTGAAATCCCAAACAACACAGAGGTACTATGGGGAGACCATACGGAATAAATAGTGGGGCTATCTACAAATAATAATAATAATCAGTCACTGTCCCTTTCAACTCAATCTTGATCAGAAGCTACACTGTCATCAATGATTAATGATTCGCCAGCCTAGTGATGCTTGCATCAATGTCTATATTTGATCACAGTCGCCAGTCTTCAATGAAGGAGGCATCGGTTCTACAACAGTGGACGAGTAAATCATTGGAATGGTACTCTTGGTGTCAATTCTGTCATCTTCCTTGCCTCACCGTCTACTAATGTGAAAGCTATGTCACTAAAGCGACCTACACACTCTTCTCACACTCAGATAGATATGTTTTAGAAGCCAGAGGTCTACAATTTGACCTCGATCAATGGTCAAAGCCCTCTCTATCACGATTCACACTAATCGCAACAGTGGGACTGTGGGTTAGTGGGTCCATTATAAGGCTATAGCGTTGATGGCTATTTGATCAGCCGTTTCATCATTATGCGATATGCGATATCATTATGCGATATACAATATGCGGGAGATAGGTAAATATAGCGAGTACTATTTATATAGCCACTGTATTAGTAGTAAACTCTTTATTTAAATTATTCTCTTTTAGAGCTATATTATTATTCTTCTTTTTATAATTAAATCTATATATATTAATCTTTATTTAACTATTATAATTATACTTTATACTCTTATATACTTTATAATAACTCTCGCTATTACTATTAAATTTAAAAAAGCGATTAAATAAGTTATACTCGCCTTTAAGATTATTAAAAAAACCTTTAACGCGATTAATAAGATCTTTAAAATTAAAAAGACTATTAAGATTAAAATATCTCCCTCTTATAAAAAGATCTTTATATATAAAACGCTATTAAGAATTATTAGCTTAAATAAGATTAAGAAAATACTCTTATCTATTATTAAAGTAGATTTTTAAAAATTAATAGCTTAGCTATCTAAGATTTAAGAGAAATAAAATTATCGCTATTATTATAAGAATTAAGTTTATAAATTATATTACTATTATCGTTATTATTATAATTATAGATATTATTATTATTACTTAAATATATTAAATTTAAATTTATTTAATTTTAAATTAAATTAAGAGAAAAGAAGAGAAATTTTCTTTTATTACTTTAAAGATAAGAAACTCTTTTTTAATATTATTAAAAGATTCTAAAGTATAAATATTAAGTACTTTAAGTAAATCTTTTTTAAAATCTTTAAAATTAAAAACTTCGCTAGATTAGCTTATATATATACTATCTTAATTAAAAAGAATAAAAACGTTAATAGCTATAATTATATAATATACTATTTTTATATATATTCGATAATTATTAATTACTTTATATATATAAGCGTAAAAAAAGACTTAAATAAGATTTTTTATATATATATTATTTATTTACTATAGCTATCTAATATTTATAAATTCGACTTTATTCTTATTTATTACCTTATCTTTATTACTATATATATCTAGAATAATTAAAATAACTTTAAAATCTAGAAAGCGAATAATTAGAGTTATAAAGATCTTTTTATATCTAAAAGAATTTATATAAATAATAATAAGTTAAATATTAATACGTCTAGTCTTAATAAGTCTATTAAAATTAAAGAAAATAAAATTTATAGAGATTTTAATAGAGATATCTATATTCGTAAGCGCTATATCTACTTATATATCTATATAATTTATTAATAAAATTATTTATTAAATAAATATCTTAAGATTTAAAATCTAGTTATAAGTAGCTCTAATTAATTATTATTAAATAATTATATTATTAGAATAAAATAACTTTTAAAGTACTCGTAGATATTATAATTACTATAGTATATATTTAAGAAATTCTTATATACGCTATATAATCTATTAAATTCGAATTTACTCTATTAAAAATCGTTAATAATTAATAATTAATTTAAATAATTAAACGATTATTTAAATCTAATATTTATTAAGATTATTTTAATTATTCTTTGAAAAGACGCTAAGATAAATTTTTAAGACTATATTTTAATTTATTATAATTAAAATTATTTATTAATACGTTAAGTACTTTAAATATTATTAATAAATCTTTAAAAATAGTTTTAATAATATCGTCTAATCGAGATTAATTCTTAAAACGAGTCTTACTACGTCTATTTACTACTTAAATTAATATTAAAATATAATAGAAGTTAAAGATAAATTTATAATCTCTTATTCTTATATAATTATTTAATTAATAATAATATTTAGATAAAGTAAGATATATTAGAATATATTATATACGATAATATAGTAGTAGTATTATTATAAAAAGACTTAAGAGTTTAATTCGTTAAAAGAGATCTTAAAAACGTTTTTAAATATATACTCGTTATTATATCGAATTAATAATTACTTAGTTTTAATTATAATAAAAGCTATTAAAAAGAATAATATCTATTATTTAAACTACGTATATTATTATTTCTATTCGATTTATTTATAAAGGCCTTTATTTAAATCTTAATCGCGATTCTTTTATAAAAAATAATACTTTACTATTTAAACGATTTTTTTATAATTCTTTTATTAAATAATAATATAATTATATACGAGTAAAGGCCTATGAATTAAATTCATAATCATTTTTTTAATTAGGGCTATCGAGGAGCGATCTTTGGTGAGCGAACTTTGGTGAGCGATATTTGAATTCCTTGCGCTTTAATAGTTATAAGACTAAATTTAAAAATTCTTTTTTTATCTGAAAGCCCACATTTCGTTCTATAATTTAAAAAACAAATCTTAAAATTTTAATAGAAAACAAAAAAGTTATTCTATATGTTAACAACGGATATCTATTTTTTTGATGGTTGCGGACGTTTAATGGTTGCGGACGCTAATTTATTTACCCGCGATGACTTAGCCGATCTAATTAAAGAGCGTAGTAATCCTAAATTTATAATTGACTGCACATACAAATTCAAGGTTTTCAAGCTCAGCCCTATCTTATTCTTTTATATATACTAATATTTAATAATTCGATTAATTATATAATAAATTAGATCTTCGAATTAATTATATAAAGAATATTATAGACTATATAGTTAACTTTCTAGAAATTAAATTTAATAGTATTTATATATAGATAAGACTTTTCTCGAATAAGCTAATTAAGATAAGAATTATAATTAAAAATCTTTTAAAAAAAATTATCTTATATTAAAAGCTCGAGTTAATAATTAGCTTTCTCTCTTTCGCTATTAAAATCGTAATTTTAAAAAAAAAAATCTTAAAATTTTTTTTTTAATATTCTTTAAAGGTTTATAATAATTATATAAATTATAGATAATATAAGAATAGACTTATTATAATAGAATATCTTTCTAAAATATTAGAATAGCGTTATCTTAATATATTATATTAATAATTAAGTTATATAATATATATAGATTAATATATTTAAAAAATTCGATATAAGAGATTATATTCTTAATTATTCTAATTATATTTAATTAATTTAATTTAAAGAGATTTTTAATATTAGAATAATTATATATTATTATTTTAAAGATATATAATTTAAAGAAATAAAGATTATTCATTACGCGATAAAGCTATAATTATATTAATTACGAGAATCTTATATAATTCTCTATTACGATAATAATATATATATTAATAAATTATATAAATTCTTTATATATAAATTAATTATAGCTTTATTACGTAATATAATTATATTAATAATTATTTATAATATTATAATAATATTTATTTAAATATCTATAAAGACTAATTAGCTAATCGATAATCTATTATATTTTTAATATCGAAAAATTACTAATATATATTTATAGTTAAGAGGTCTTATATCTTCGCTAAAATAAGATAAGATCTATTAAAATATTAATATAATTAGATTATATTATTTTAAAAGATTATATAACTTCTCTAATAGAGACTTATTATTAAAATTAGAAAGATATATATAACTTTAATAAGATTTTATATAATCTATTACGCACTTATAAAGATTTAATCTCTCTTTCTAATAACTATAAATATTTTTATAAATTAAATTATTAATCTAAATACTTATCGCGTTAAATCGAAGTCTATAAAAATATATCTCATCGATCTTAAATTAATTTATATAAATATAGGATTCGATAATCTCTTAATATTTTATTATTTTTAATTATAACGTATTATTATAAATAGTTAATATCTTTATAGCGAAGCTAATATAAAAGAAAGATATTTAATTATTAAAAATCTATTATTTTAAATTCTTTCTTATTTCGATAAATTAATCTATATCGAAATAACTTTATATATCTTCTTTTATCTTATCTTCGCGATATTTCTACGCGTAGATAAATTTATTTATAATAAATAAAATCTTTAATAAAAGAACTTTAATAAATAGTTTCTTATATATCGCTCGATAAGATTATTTGATAATTATCTAAAACTTATACTTTTAGTATCTAAAATAAATCTATTTCGTTATAAAATTATACTTATAATAATTATATTAAACGATAATATATATATAGTTAAAGTCTTATATTATCTCTTTAGATGAAAAGTTTTATTTAATATATCGCTATTTTAGCTAAAAAGCTTTTTTTTTACTAGAAAATTTATTATTAATAATTTTTATAAGATACTAATATTACTTAATATTAAGAGCTATTATTTAAGTTATTTCTTTTATAAAAAGATTATAATATTAATATATAACGCTAATCTTAGTAATAATAAGATTTAATTATTAAATCGTTAAAAGTTAGATTCTTATTATCTATATATTATTACTTATCTAATTTATATATTTAGAGTATTACTACGATATTAATATCTTTTAATCTATTCGCGCTAATACTATTAATCTCTATTACTTATTATAATAAATATTATTAAAAGTTATTTTCAAGACCTTCGCCCTCTTTAAATGATATTTTAAATTTTAGAAGTTTTTCTAGCGCTAAGAGGCTTTTCTAGATTATTAAATATCTAGAAAAGTCTTAGCTATCTCGATCTAGATATATCTAATTATATATTTATATATCTATTTATATATATATAATTTCTATATAATCTTATTATTTATAAATATTAATTATAATAATAGAATTATAGATTAGTAAGTTTATTATAAGATTATAGCGTTAATAACTATTTAATTAGTCGTTTTATTATTATATAATATATAATATTATTATACGATATACGATATATAAGAGATAGATAGATATAGCGAGTATTATTTATATAGCTACTATATTAGTAATAAACTCTTTATTTAAATTATTCTCTTTTAGAGCTATATTATTATTCTTTTATCTATCTATATCTATATATAGCTTTATTTTTACTCTAGGGTATATCGCTTAGATATAAGAGTTTTTCTAGCGCTGAGAAGCTTTTCTAAATTATTAAATATCTAAAAAAGTCTTAGCTATTTCGATCTAGATATATCTAATTATATATCTATATATCTACTTGTGCATATGTGATTTCTGTATAGCCTCACTGTTTGCGAGCACTAACCCCGTCGCATTCACTCCTCCGCATTTCGTGGATGGAATCTCAGACGTTGCCCATCCTTAACCGATTCTATGTCGCCTTTCCCTAGATGCGGCTCCAGATGCGCTTGCGCTACAGCGAAAGTCCTATCGTTGAACCTCACGGGATACTTGGACAAACATTTCATTGAGTGCCCCAGAACCGCAGCGCCTTGATTCGACAGACCACGGTATTGAATTCGGTGAGCCTCCTTAGAGAATGAACCATACATCAAAGCATTACTGAGCCAATGTAAGGAATGCCTTCGAATACGATGTTGCAGATTCCACGTGGGACAAGGGAACTGGTAAACATATCAAGGCATGGAAAGGCCTTCGGATATCCCTTCGACTTTTCGACGAAGAGTGGCCTTCCGTGTTGAGTCTGATGCAGAAGTTTTGTATATTGTGCATGATCTGATGCTGGTGCTGAAAGTATGTGATGGTAGACGGATGATAATCAAAGCCAATTCATGAAGGAAGGACTGGGATGTGTCGTCACATCGACACTTTCTGAAAACAGAAACCTGATGTTTCCAGCCCCTATACCCAGAGTAATGGCTATCCTTCCAATCTCCTTGCGGCTGCCTCTGCGTGCCCTCTCGGGTAGAATATCATGCAAAAGCCATCCTTTACCTTGACTAATTCTGCCTTCCCCAACCGTGACTCAAACAACACGAGCATCCACCCAGCATCACAACAACACGGATAAAGGCTGTGGTCCTTCATTGCATCAATCTCGATCCACAAGGCTACTTTCTCAAAACTCCCGAAGCTTGACACGAGTGGGATTAATTCAAGCTTGACCAAGACATCCATAGTACATTTTACACGGAGAACGACTTTGCATTGCCCACGGAGAATCTGCGAACCTGCGAACGGCACGGAGCGGTTCAGAATCTGATCCAGACCCATAACCCTCCTCAGATCGATTGTGATGTCGAGATTTCGAATTGCCTTCGCAACCTCATGAGTCGGGCGCTGGCCATTGTTGTCGTCCCCAGCTCCGAATCGCATACTATAGACTCCCTCTTTGCAGATCAAGGTTTGCCCATCAATTTGGAGTGTCCGGGATGCTCTCATGAAGTGAGGATAGCCAGAAGCGATGCAGTCTCTGAAGATCATGGGTCGGAGCTCCGTTGGCAGCCCGTAGAGCAACGGAACATTTTTGTTCATCTTCTGTATGTCCATGACAGTGGGTTTAGTGAGCTCTGGAGACTGTTCGAGATGATCCGTTGTGATAATTCCTTGTGCCGGGTTCAACCCCATGTTGACTTGCTGCTCAGGCGACACTGTGTGGATATCGAGAGGCTTGTGGTGGATCGAGGCTTTGATTCGCTGATTGTGTCTGCGATGATGACGAGTGGTTCTAAACGAAAGAGAACTCCAGGGACATTTGCATGTCTAAAGAGAATTTAGTGTGTTGTTGACAAAGACAGAAAGTCTTGCATTGAGCAAAATCGTCCGATAACACCCATATTTCTTACAGTTCTAACACGTATATCATCTATCTAATTAGCCAACTGTCAATAACCTACACATCCCCAGTCCAAATCACTACTACTTGCCAGCATCCACCCTCAGTCTAGAATCCTCCAAACCGACCGGAAACCCCAACGAGATCCAGTTCCAGCCTCCAAGTCGCCATTCAAGATGTGCCGAGGAATCGACTACGTCCACAAAGGGTGCAAACACATTAAGAAATTTCACGTTGTCCAGGTATGCGATTCTTACAACGGCACCCCCTGCCACGATCTCATTACAATTCATGAAATCAAAATCACAGCTCCAGCCTTTTGCCTTCGATGTTTCCGTCAAAAGGAGGCCGACATTGACGCGGAATACGAAACCATGGCAGACGACCTCCGAAATGAGATAGCCAGGGTTGACGAATGCTTCGCCAAGGGGAGGGTCCTAACCCAAACAAACGCGCATTTGCTCAACGACTACCGTGCTGAGTGCGAGGGTGATGTCCTGCAAGCGAAGGCATCGCGGGACTTGAGCATCCGGCTCTTCAGACAGGACCAGGGGGTCTGGGGTGATGGCTGAAGAGACGTGGATGTGACGACGAAGAGATCGAAAGAGGGCATTAGTTTTGCAGCGATATGGAGTTTCAGTGTTAGTCCCAATCTCACTGAATCTGATAAATTGCAGGCGTACCCAAAGACGAAGGTTTCGAATGCGAGCAATTGATCCCCAAAGTATTCAACACAGTGCATGTTGCACAGGGCTAGCGAGGACACACCCATAGACATTGACCGCAAATCCAGCAGTGTTTCCCTGCAAACGAGACAACCTCGCAAGAACGCTTTTAATCCCCTTCTAAGTAAGATCCTGTTCAATTTGTGGTAGGGGTACTTAAGATAAATTGAACTTAGTGAGGCACCTATGATACCTTGCACTGTAATTGTCTGCGGCCCGTCAACCTTTTCATTCCATCTGTCTTGCAGATTCGCTAGGAAATGAGTGATGCCTTTTTCTTTGTCCGTTTGTTTTCCTTTGTGTTTGTGGCTGCCTAATGAAGATGTCTGTTTTTCCGCCATGAGTACCGTCTTCCCAGGTAGGAAACCTCAGCGTCGCATGCCCAACGGCCACTATCAATTGCACTATTACCCCATACTGCCTTTTGAAACCTCCTCACTACGCTATATATATATTTCCACCTCCAGGATCCCCCACAATGTGCTTCTCTTTGTACCGAACCACAATCTACGGTCAGGTAGCGCCCCTCTGTTAACACGCATTTTCTCAACCTCTTTGTTCAAGTTTTGACACACCTATATATCATGACACACCTACTTGCCCGGATACTATATAAGCTCAGCTTGCGGAGATCTTTTATACACTTCCAAGTCATCATCCCCCACATCACCAGACGCTCCTCTACCAAGACCAATTTCAGACTTTCGAGAAACGAGCCAGTGTCTACATCAATGGCATTCCCAATCTCCCCTCAAACGATCCTCGAGTTCAAACTCTTTAAGGAAAAGCTTCACACCTTGCTCGACAATGTCCTGGATCAAGCTGAGACCCTGCAGACCACGGCAGAAGAACCTGTCGTTCTCGATCGTGATTGGATAATCGGAAAATTGAAAGATCAAATCACCACGGAAAAGTACGTGCTTGAGCCTGGAGCCGTGCGAGTCACTGAAGGTCTCGGCAATCTCTTAAAACTCCCCCGAGAGCTGAGAGACTTGATATATGGCTACGCCATTGTCGATGGCCAGACAGCGATTGTGCGAGCCTCCAAGCAGACGCACAAGGAAGCCAGCGAGCTCATCTTCCATCATGGAGTCTATCGCTTGGTCATCGGATTCGGAGACGATGTCATCAACCCTCCACTCAGCCAATCATTAGTCAAAAACGTCAAAAACCTCAACCTCCGAGTCAATGGGCGAGGATTTTTCATTGACGGCGTTGACCAGAATCTCCCCATCTTACGCATGTTTGACGGGTCAAATATCCAGCGGAAGGATTGTGTTGTGACGGTTGTGTGTGACCCCTTCTGCGGCGGAATGGATGCCTCTCAGGTCGTCCGCGCTTTGGACAATCTTACTGGATTTGAGAGAGTGATCCTGGAGCTCGACCTCGAGTGGTGGGGAGAGCCATGGCCTGACACGATCGATGAAACCCAAGAGTATCGGATTTGGGCACGCATTAACGGGGCGGTTCACCATCAGAAAAAGCTGCTAGAGCCAACGTTAGGTACGGGTTCCTATAGCTTTGATGAGAAGGGTTTGCGCTTGGCTTTTCATCCGCGGAAGTAAATGCGGCTTTTGTGCTTGCACAGGTTGGGCTCGGCATGAGTTAAGAAGAATGGATAGACATTGAAATGAAGCGTGAGTGAATAATGGAGAACAAAAGACTTGGTATCGATGAGACTATTTATTACACTAATGTCTGGTCCTTGTGCATGTAATACTTGTGCATGTGGAGCCTGAGTGACATACCTTCGGATTTTGCACCAAGTCTGTGACAAACTTCGCGTCCAAAGCATGTGTGCACTTACCCGTTGTCTTGCCATAGGATTACATCCATGGAATGTAGAGTGGGGCGTAATTCCTGAACATTCTTGACCAAAACATAAAGGACTGGCGTCCATAGTGAGAAAGTTCGTTCGTCATCCTAGATAGAGCGGCTGCACAATCTGTGGCGTGGATTGGACATGCCCAATCTGGATTTTCTGCGGGTGGGACACAGGAGATAGAGGTATTTGGAACAGCGGCTTCTAATGGGGATGAGTCTTTAGTGACACCCTGCGGTGGTCACTGAGGGAAGCGCCCTTCCCTGAAACATGAGTGCAGCAGGGGCGGGAGACATGAGTGGGGTGAGGAAGAGTAAACATTCGCACCACCCGAGATAAAGACCGTTGGCGGATATCATGTTGGACATGGCTTCTAAGTCTCCTCAACGGAAAGAAAGGGGCCGCTGAGCGTGTTGTAATGCTGGATTCTGCCGACTTACGCTCAAGGCGGTCGCGTGTATACCGATATCGAGATTCGAGAGACTGTCGTTTAGCAAGACATTGTTTCAGCGCCTTACCTGCGACCGCGTCGTCTTCAGATGAACCTATCAAAAAAAAGAGGACTTATTTTAGCTGCCTCTTGTGAATGTCACATTCTAATGTCACCTACATTTGTGTCAACTGGATCAATGGCCTCCTTTTCCGCTCATATCTTATATCGACCTTCTAAAGAGGTCTATCAGATGTCCCGCCCCGGCGCGGCTTACAGCTCGGCAGGGGTGAAAAAAAGTTCGGCAGGGGTGAGTAGATGCTAAGTATATGCACCTCGTCCGGGGTGAAAGGGATACACTCAGCATATGCCAACACCTCATGTTAGACTTAAAGAGCCTTAGAGTTATATAGTAATGTGGAATTAGAAAGATAGATATATTTATATATCGATCTAATAGTAAAACTAATTTTTAAGAAAGTAAAGGAAACTCGAGGAAGATCGCTTACTTAAGCTTATCCGCTAAGACTTCGTTAAAACTTCGCTAAGACTTTATTAAGCGTATATTAGACGTATATAAATTAAGTAATCTAAGATTCTCTCACTTAGAATCCTTAAGCCCCTTTTCTAATAATTACCTTCTCTCTTTAAAGATTTATTCTTAAATCTAAGTATAGAAAGAATATTTTCTTATTACTAGAAGACTTATTAAAATTCTTTAAATCTTATAAAAAAAGAAGGGAAAGAGTTTCTTATAATAGTATAGCGGAAATATAATATATTATAAATATATAATAAAAGTATATAACGTCGATAGATAATATTAGATATACTCTTATAAATTAAATATAGTTATAACGATATATAGAGTATCTACTAGTATTATAATTTAGATATATAATATATATAATTAGAGTGCGATTATAATGATATTTACTTTTTCTCTAAAAAGTTTTCTATTTTATTAATACTTCTTTATTATTCTTAATAATCTACGCTCTCTATAATAAATATATAATAAATATATACTTAACTAATATATTATATAGACGTTATAACTATTATAATAAGTTTTCTAAAGACTTTATTATTATATATATATTTCTTACGCGTTAATAGCTATAATTTATTATACTCGCTCTTCGCAGCGCTAAACTTCTATCGATATTAAATAAAAATATCTATTATCGCTATACTCGATAAGTCTTTAAGTATACTCTTCGCTTATATAATATTATATTTAATAATAATAATAATATAATTACTAAATATTATTATTACGCTCGCCTTCGGGGTAATTATATTATAATAAGTTTTTATATAAATAACGTATAATAGATATACTTATAACGCCTATTAATTTACTTAAAAGATCTCGACAAATAAATATATTATTATTAATATTAATGCTATAATTCGCGTTCGCTTATAACGTACTTATATTATTCGTTATTTTCTTATTCTCGATATCCTCGATTTTATATCTACTACGCGGCTTAAGACTATCTATAAATATTTTAATACGATCTTAATAACGATTTAATATATCGAAAATCGATTAGAAATAAAGAAGAAGTTAGATATAGAAGCGGCTTCGCTTAATAAAGCGAAAATTCTTCGAAAAATTCTAGATATTCTAACGAGTATCTATAACGTAATACACTTTATCATATATATCTATACTTTTTATATTTATTTCTTATTCTTCATATTTATACTAATTATACTTTAGACTAATCTTTTATTAATAAATATATCTTTTATATTTTCTAAGTCGGGCTTAAATTCTAAGAGCGATAAAAATAAAAGTAAAATAAATAATAGTAGAGATAAAGAGAAAGAGAAGAATAAAGAGAAAGAAGAAGAGAAGAAAGATAATAAGAATAATAAGATAAATAATAAGATAAGATTTATCTACGAGGGCGGTTCGGAGGATAATCTTAATAATAACGGCGCTAATAATAATAGTTTTAATAAAGTCTTTAAGAAGTTTAACTAGCCCGTCGTTTTATTTATATATATCTTATATTATAATATCTATTACTTCTAATAATATAGCCTTTTCTTTATTATTTTTAAATATTAATACTTTTCGTTAATTCTTTTAATATTATTTTTTATTATAATATTTAAAGTTCGACTTTCTATAGCTAAGTTTTTTATTTTTAAATATTTTTTTTAAAATCATTAATCTTTAAACTCTTTTTTCGATATTCATATCTTACGCTTTTCGTATTTATAAGCTATACTTACTAAACTCGTTAATTAAATCTTATATATTTTCTATAACTTTTTTACTAAGTTATTTATTATACTTTTTAAGATAATCTTCTTATTAAATAAGATATTATACTTTATTCTTTTTTATATACTTCTTATATATAAATTTTATTAAATACTCTTTATTATCTTCTATTAGTTTAGAAATAGAATATTTAGAAATATCTAAATCTTTTAGTCTTTATTTATATAATTTTAATAATAATATATAGAAAATAGAGTGAATTTAATAAGTAAGCGATAGTTATAGTCGATATGCTTATATTTTAATATACTTCTAAATATAAAATAAATTAATTAGCTTATTAGAAAGCT